TTGGCTGAGTTTGTGCTTTGGGAGTTGTCTATTGTTTCTAGTCTGTCATTATACAGCATTCTTGTTCAGCACGCGTGCAATGAACACGCTTGGCTGACTTCCGAATGCTCACCGAGGACCCATCTGTTATAACGATGTCTAAAATAAAGGGATGAATCTCTTGGTTTATTAGATATAATCCGTGTAAAGTTTGCTTATCATTTTCGCATAAATTATGACCTAAATTTGGAAACCGCTGAATTTCTCGAATTGGGTCTTTGCGATTTTGGTGAAACTCTGTTCAGCACAAGGCACTAATGCGCACTATGTGTAGCCGAGAGATTTTCACGAAAAAATCCTGGCAACCGCAGATTTTCGACTCAGACCTTAAAGGGGCGTGGCATTATAACCACGTGACATTTACTCCGATCGCCAAAAATTTTATGTTATATTGTAGATTGATCTATATGTTATCAATTCTTTGTGTTATACTTACGATAAAAGTAAAGGTGGGTATACCAGAGAGCTTCAAAGTAGGATGGTACCCCCTAAAAAGAACTGGGTCGAGTCACCTTAAGGTGGCTCGACTGGATTTTTTTGAGGGGATACCTCCCAAGTTTGAGCATTAACTACGTCGCCAAAAGTAAAGATATGGCAAAGAGATTACCACAAGTGTATTATATAAAGATGAAAATTTCTTATGATCTGGGTTTTAATGCAATCGGAGTCGCCATAGCAACGTAACGACGCCATTACGTTTTTTATTTATCTTTGTGTTTCTCTGTACCAAGAGTTTTTTTAAGAAATCGCTTAAGGGAGTTTGTACCTTCCATAATTGCCTCAATTATGGCAAAGTTTGAACAAATTCTATGAGAGCGTTTTCGAGATATTTTGAAACGAAGTTTTAAGCATCATAAAAAGAGTGAAATAGCATGCTATCCACACAATTAGCTAAATTTTAAAGAAAATGATAAGCTTTGGAAACGCGGCTTCATCTCATAGTGGTTTGATTCCATTGAAAACTGCGTACAAAGAAAGAGGAGAATTGCTCCGGGCGATCGCGAATAAGAAGAATCTTAGTAACTTGCATTCAGCTGCTTTTGTTACAGTTTTTGCATGTAGTTTGGTCCATGCCTACAATTTTCGCATTTTTCCAAAAACCGCTCGATAAATTTTTTTATAAACTTTGCAATCCCGAGATCAATTGTCTATAAATATACCCTGCAAGTTTTAAGAATATTGAAAACAGAGAAGGCTTTCAAATAGGGCCTCAAAGATAACCAATTTTCCCCCCAGATTTTGTGTTTACAAGTGAGCGTCCTCATTATTCACTGGCATTGTTTCCAAGTTTCATTTCACGTGCACATTTAGCAAAAAGAAATAAATTTGCATAAAAAAGAACTCTCGATTACTTTCGGAAGAAATTTCGGAATATGCTAATAATTGGCTTGTGTCACAGATAGCAGTGAGAGCCGAGACGGCGAACGTCACGGCTCATCGTGTAGGATGCAATACTTTAATAGTTACCTTACTCGGGTTATAACGTCACAGAATCTCTTACAAAGAGTTGCTGTGAGGTTATAAAATATAACTAATTTCTTTACCCGGTTATTAGCATATTCGGGAGATTTAACCGAGGGTCCTTTTTGATGCAAATTCTATCTTTTTGCTAAATGGGCACGTGCATATGAAACGTGGAAACAATGCCAGTGAATAATGAGGACGCTCACTTGTAAACACAAAATCTGGGGGGAAAATTGGTTATCTTTGAGGCCCTATTTGAAAGCCTTCTCTGTTTTCAATATTCTTAAAACTTGCAGGGTATATTTATAGACAATTGATCTCGGGATTGCAAAGTTTATAAAAAAATTTATCGAGCGGTTTTTGGAAAAATGCGAAAATTGTAGGCATGGACCAAACTACATGCAAAAACTGTAACAAAAGCAGCTGAATGCAAGTTACTAAGATTCTTCTTATTCGCGATCGCCCGGAGCAATTCTCCTCTTTTTTTGTACGCAGTTTTCTATGGAATCAAACCACTATGAGATGAAGCCGCGTTTCCAAAGCTTATCATTTTCTTTAAAATTTAGCTAATTGTGTGGATAGCATGCTATTTCACTCTTTTTATGATGCTTAAAACTTCGTTTCAAAATATCTCGAAAACGCTCTCATAGAATTTGTTCAAACTTTACTATAATTGAGGCAATTATGGAAGGTACAAACTCCCTTAAGCGATTTCTTAAAAAAACTCTTGGTACAGAGAAACACGAAGATAAATAAAAAACGTAATGGCGTCGTTACGTTGCCATGGCGACTCCGATTGCAATATAAACCAGATCAAAAGAAATTTTCATCTTTACATAATACAGTTGTGGTAATCTTTTTTCCATATCTTTACTTGTGGCGACGTAGTTAATGCTCAAACTTGGGAGGTATCCCCACCAAAAAATCCAGTCGAGCCACCTTAAGCCCTAATTACTTCGGCGGGGCACCCAACGACGGTCAGGAATGTATCAAAGTTACCATTTTTTGACAAGATTGGGCAAGCAAAGTCTGTAGATTTTCGGTTTTACTCGGCTATTTGACGAAGTGAGAGCCGCATTAGTTCGAGATATCTCGAGATCACTGCGATTTGTTTGATTTATTCTGTTTAAGTTTTTCGAGGAAGAAAGAATTATTATTTTGGCTTTCCCGGGGTTTGAACCGACTCACCTGTGTGACCCGTCAGGTCAGAGGAGACTCTAAGTTGAGGGATTAGCCAATTGCGCTACTTCGACCCAAGGTAGTGCGACCTATGAAAAATAGTTATGAAATTATGCTAGTTTCGGGGCAAGATTGGGCGTGCAAGTTCGCGACTTTTCGGCTTGTTTCGGCTATTTCACAAAATGAAACCGGACTTCTTTGTGATATCTTGAGATCACTTCGAGTTTAGTCTTTAATTTACTCGAGGAATAAATAGAGGATATTACGTGGCCGCGCAGAGACAGGAAATTTCTCTTCGAGTGTTGGAAAACATTTTACGAGTGAGCCCTCCTTTCGAACTGCTTTATGATGAATTTAAAGTTACAAAATGCTGCACAAAGACATTTTGTCTTTGTTGAGTGTTACGTAGTAAAATTGCTTTCATGCGTTGGGTGACTTTCTCGAACGTTCTGTACTTTTTTGGATTATTCATGAATAATTGACGGGCGTCGATAAAACCAGGAACATGGAACATCCCGGAATATTACGGAACATCCCGGAACATGAAAAAATTAAAATATTTTTTTATGAAAAAAAATTTAATTCATTCATTAAATAATAATAATAATAATAATAATAAATAATGAAAAGAACAATAGATAGAAAACAGTTTTTGTAAAAATTTATAATAACAAAATAAATAACATAACATAACATAAAAACGAAAAATAAAGAAAGAAAGAAAGAAAGAAAGAAAAAGAAACTGGTATCATCTCCGAGTATGGGAAAACAATAATTTGTCGCAATGAAGTTTTTGGGCGAGTGAGGGTCCATTCAAATGACAGTAAGAGTGAAGGCTTGCTTCTAAATTCAAAATATATTAAAAGGGGTCGCGCGAGGAGGGGGTTTTCGAGCTTTCCTCACACAGCCACCTCTTGTAAATGTTTGCCATGCGGTTTAACAGTTATCCATTTACGGCTTTGCGACTGTAAGAAGAGCTTAGGGGCTCGTCGCTTTGGACTTGGATAATTAAAGATTCACGTTGCAGTGGCAGTGGTAGCGCAGCGATAGTTTCTAACTGTTATCAGTTAGCCTGAATTTTAGCCGTCTCCCCGCAAACTCCTCTTGCGACTCGAGGAGACGTCTGAAATATCATGCTGACTGTAAACAGTATAGAAACTACCACGAATGTGAGTACTGTCCACTAAAATCCAAAGACGGGAGCCCCTATACTCTTCTTAAGTTCACAGAGCCGCCTAGTCTGTAAGTAATTCATGTCAACCTCAAGTGAAGCAAAGCACCCCAAGTAAGCAAATGTCGGTTAATATATATAAGGAGACTATATGTCGGCTTGAAATGAGCTACTTACCGACTTGGCTTGACATGAAATACTGCACCGACATTTCAGACCATTGCAGAACCGTAAATGGTTAACCGCCAAGGCAAACAATTACAAGAGGTGGCTGCGTGAGGAAAGCTTGAAAACCCCCCTCCTCGCGACCCATTTTAATATATTTTGAATTTAGAAGCAAGCCTTCACTCATTACTGTCATTTGCATGAACCCTCATTCGCCCAACAAATTTTAATTTGTTGCGACAAAATATTGTTTTCATATACTCAAAGAGGACACCAGTTTCTTTTTCTTGATTATTTCATTATTTTTCGTTTTTTTTTTTTGTTATTTTACGTTATTATTAATTTTTACAAAAATTAGTTTATTATTATTATTTTATTATATTTTTTTCATGAAAATTATTTTTACTTTTTCATGTTCCGGAATGTTCTATGTTCCGGGTTTTATCGACGCCCATCTTTAATCAGTACACGAGACTGCTATGCTGTTTTTGAAGCCTGATGTGACTAAGAAAAATAGAGAATTCTTTTTTCACTGTTTGTTTTGTTAGACTTGTTACTCACCGCCAGTAACCTCATATTTGACTTAGGTCTAAACGTTTAGACCCAAGTCAAATTTAGAAGGATTTGTATGGAGTCATCAGAGCATAACTGGGCTAATATCTCAGAGACAATTTGTCCTAAAATGCTAGTTTTTGGCAATTTCCTCTAACATTATGGTACTTTGTTATTTTAGTTACATCATAAACCAAGATATAAATAAATATTACTTTATTTATGATATATTAATAGTTTTACATAAATAAGGACAAAATACAAACTGAATATGGAAGTTTACCTAGTTCGCGAAACGCAAATCCCTGTATCTGGGGCTTTCGGATGTATGGTTTTGATGTTCACAGATAATGAAGTATACTTTTATAGTCATTTGGGATGTAACTTTTTATTTCTTTTTGCAAAACGTTTGCAAAGAGACGCTACAAGGTTCGCTCTTTGTTTTACTGCGATCAAAGAATCGGTCGTAGAAATCCAAATTTTTGTGTGATCACAGCTGAGGTTAAGAAGAACATTCAAAAACAGCAACGGAACAAGAAAATTTAGGGAGGGCAACGAAAGCCAATATAACAGACGTTTGGTTAGGACAGTAGTATAGTAGACAAAACATTGTTGTAAAGAGACTGGCGTGATTTATCGTTCTTGTGCCTCCAAGAAGCAAAAACGAATTTTGTTACCCACGCAAGCAAACTGACCCTTAGTGTAGAGACACAACAAGAAATACTTAACAATTATTCCTCGAGCCCGAATGGGCTCTGAGTCAATAGCCCATTCGGCCTTCGGCCTCATGGGCTATTGACTCAGGGGCCATGAGGGCGAGAGGAATAATTGTTTTGGTAAAATCCAACTATAGTTGGTCAAAAATAACGAGAATAAAATAAATATATTTACTGAAAGCTAGACTTTAATCCCTTTTTGCCGCCATATAGCCTAGTAGCAGCTCAACCAATCAGAACGTAGCATTGATAATAGACCGCTAGTTGGATTTTACTAAAAAACAATAGCCCTTATTCACGATACCAGTCATCAATCGCGGTCTCATTTTGGGAGAATAAAGGCAAACTCGACCGCGATAACTCGTATTACTAATGGTAACAGGACTGAGTGGAGTCCAATTCGGTCTGTAATCATACGAATGATTAGGGAGCTTAAGCGACGACGGCGACGACGGCAACAAGAACAATAAAAAACAATAGGTTTAGATTGGCAAAACAACAAATCTGCACGTGCACCACGCTTTCTTGTACCTTTCTTTGCCGTCGTTGCACGACTACGACGTGAAACTGCCTTATTTCACGTTTTGTAGAGGGCGTGAACACAAGACAACAACTTTCTTTTTCTTTTCCTGTACTTTGATACAATCCTTTAGAATTCAACTCCAGAAAAATTCGCCAACATTTGACGAACTGAATGACATGGAATAATCACGCTAAAGTTTGAAGCAGCGCGAATTCACTTTTTAAGTGACGTTTTTGTAGTAGTCGTCGTCGTTGTCGCTTAAGCTCCCTATTAACAATACGCGGTCGTCCGATTTGTTTCATCACGAGTATGAGTACAGACTGAATTGGACGACACGAAGTTCTGTTACCAATTAATCATAACTTTAACAAAATTTGTGATATATAAGGCTCTCTTTTTTAAATGAAAACACAAGAAATTCCAAGATATATATATATATATGTTTTGCCAGCAGTGAAAGAAAGGCCATTTAAGCGCGCGCGTGATGGCACGTATGTCCTATTAAACTGTCCTATTAGGGCTGAAATCAGGGCAGTTGATGGCCAATCAGATTTGAGAATTTTGTCATAGTTATGATTATTTGGCAAATTTTACCACTTGTTTGCTCCCTGAAATACCGCGTGACATCACTTTTATCCCATCAACCCTAGTGAGCGTGAAAGGGTAGTGGGTATCGTGAATAAGGTCTACAAAAAGACAATTATGGATTTTAAGTTACTCTTGCATACCTGCAACACTAGAGTGATATTTTCTCAATTTCACCATAGATACATTTTATGTAAATTTAACAACCAAACAGATTCCTTGCCAGACAGTTCACCAATAAAACAATTTCACACAGACTGGACAAATGAACTAACATTTGCCGATTGATAGAGGTAAATATGTTAGGCCCTAGCCAAGCGACAAGCGAGGTGACTTGTGCCTCGCTGTTCTTTTCATATCTTCTTTCACTTTCCATCTCATCAGTTCTAAACAGGCTCTGGCATCTTCATGGCTGTCGTGTCCGTCGACTAAAATACAACAGTACATGGTCTCCAGTTAGTACACGCTCTGTGCACAAACCTTTTGGTTAAAGGAGCTGTGTTACGAACGTTAACCTAACAGAGGCAGTGGGAAGTTCGGAGCTGGTCACCATATTGACTGAAACGCTTAAATATTCGCTTACAACATTGAAGGGAGGTTAAAGAACAAAGCAATTACAAAAGAAAGGCAGGGGTGGGCAAAATTGAAGAAGATTAAAAACGATTCTAATCGGAGTTTTGAAACTTGCCTTTCTTAGCCATAAACTTTGCAAAGTTCATCACTGTTATTAGCAATTTCAAGTAGAATGCTTAGGAGACATTTCTATTCCACGAGGCTGTAATTTTTATAACGGATTACTTCCGGGCTTTTAAAACTGTTCAGCGTGACAGTTTTCAAAGTCAGTCACTATTGTTTTCACGTTAAAATAAGATGCTTAACAGACATATATCTTTGTCACCAAGCTTACCGTAAATCCTCTATTACGCCACCCCTATCAAATAAGTCCCCCTTTTCAGTGGAAGAAAGTTAGTAATCCCCCCTCTCTTTCAAGCCCCCCCCCCCCTCCCCCTTATCATTCTTAACTAATAAATGTTGGACTGTATTAACCAATCACGACCGTAAAACTTCGTGTGGACTGGTCCAGGGTGGTTTCTTCACCAAGTGGACTTGTTTTTGATCCTGGCTGCGCGCATGATATTCAACGTTTTGAGCGAAAAGTTAAAATTATGCAAATTACTGGGTATCTCCAAAGAAAAATAAGAGACTGCTTGTAGTCTACTTCTAGTTCTTTATGGAGAACTAATACCATCGTCTTTTCCAAATTAAATAAGCCCCTCGTCTCTATTAAACCCCCCCCCCCCCCCCCCCACTTAAATGCGTTTGAAATAAATAAGCTCCTCGGGGGGCTTAATAGAGGATTTACAGTACGTTTTCATTTAATTAGTAATTCCTTTGCTAACGCTAAATCCAAGAGAAATATTTTTCACAGCTCACCACTATCCTGAATAATTTTCTTAAGGTAATCTGCCATGAGATTGCGCAGTGCTCTCTTGTAAGGAGGGCCAAGTCGGTGGGGAAATACGATAGAAGTGTCCACTACTTTACTGTGAATTAACTGAGAAAAAAAAAAAACAATTTTGAAGGTTATTGAAAATCAATAACAGAATTCTTCTAAGCTCCTTAGGAGGATTGATTACATGTCTCTTTTTTGTAGTGGGACAGTTTACGCTGTCATATATGAAGTAGATAATACTAAAAACCGGTCTGAACCGCTCAGGGGAATAACACATCCGTAGCTTCTGTACCAGAATGGATTAGTCTGTCTCGTAGTGATTAAAGTGTTGTGTTCTCTGTTATACTCGTAGGCTCGATTACCAGCCGCTGTTCGGGAAAATGAGCCCGCAAACCTGGGAGACGGCGGAAATCGAGCCTATTCTACTCGTGTCAAATCCTACTACATTTTTAGGGGGGATTGGGGGTGAGGCTAATTATTCACACCTATAGTGGCTCTTACAAACTCGTCTTATTAGTCACTTTTATAAAATAAGTAAGATAGTACGCGCGCTCTGATTGGCCGAGAGGCGTGTTTGCATGGGAGTATGTAAACATGGTTGGGACGGCAAGATGTTTTGCTTTTCGCGCGCGCTAATCAGGAAAGCACAAATCTGAAAATGTTCTTGAGTTGAAAACTCTACAAGTTTACTTTATTTACCTATTCCCTTGTCGGTTGAAACTTGGAAAATCTTTACAAATCGTGCTTTGTCAATTTTTTTTCGCTTAAGCTGACATTTCAAGCGAGAGAAATCCGTACTTTGGAAAGCCCCTTTTTGGAAAACAAGAACTGATTACGCGAGCAAGACGTTGTGTACACGACTTCACGACTGGTGAGAATTTCTCTTTTAATCAGCGCCATAACAAAGAGTTTTGCGTTTTTGTCTCGCGAAAGTTAATTTATAAAACCAATAGAAAACTTTTTTCCTGTATTTGCATAGCCTGATATAAACACTCGAAGGGTTGGGGGAATTCTCGACAGTTATGAAAACGCTCGACTTCGCCTCGGATTTGCATATAACTGTCTCGAATTGTCCCAACCTCTTGAGTGCTCATATCTATTGTTGCCTACGTCGCAGACGTTCTAAACCTTCTGTATTTAAAATGTTTTAGACGACTGCGTGGGCCGGCTGCAACACAGGCGTGGGCCGGCTGCAACACAGGCTAATCTATTGCTAAAGTCGTACACCGAATCAATACGTAGGTTATCAGTTAATACAGTTGTCTGCAAAGAAGATTGCTTAGATTTGGCCATAGTTAGTAGAGCAGACTGGTTACGAAAGGCTGCAAACATAAAAAATGAGTACAATATGGTTATGAAGGGATAGCGTAGTTAAGGTCTGTTGAAATGAAGTGGTTGTGAAAGATCTTATCAACAGTCGAAAACATACTTGAACTTATTTTAAACATTGCTAGGCTTTCTTTTTAGGATTGGTTTTCGGTCACTTATGATAATATTTGTATGGAGAGAACGTGGATAAGGGAAAGTTCATTTAATATAGAGAAGCGGGTGGGAACTTTGGTGTGTGTGTTCAGGGGCTTTGAAAAATCGGTAAGCTCGAGGGGGAGGGTATAAAATCTGGCTATAGAACTAAGGGCCTGATCACATGAGCCTGGGCTGGCTCGCTTTGCAGAGATCTCGGCACCTTAGTTAAACGCAACAAAAATCAACTTTGCAATTACATGACCACGAGCCAGCCCGGTTAGCTGGGATCCCAGTATTGTGATGCCGCGATCCCGGGTGGATATTTTCCAAGTAATCACGTTTGCCGAACTGCCTCGCGAATAAACCAAGCGAGAAACAGGACAGCGGGTAACAGACTGCTCATGCACATTGCTTCCAACCTCTATATAAAAATGGCGCTTCCGGGCTGGCCCTTTTCATGTAGTACCGGGATAAAAGTCACCTCGGCAAGAGCTAGCCAGCCCGGCTCATGTGATCAGGCCCTCACTGTGAGTTTTACTGTCAAGCAGTTTGCACGTGAAAGCTTTGAAATTTGCCACTTTCGAGGTTCCTGTATGAGAGAATAAGACTTATCTAATTAACCCAAGGGTCTAAAAATACCCTTCACGAACGCGGTTTGCACGTGCAGATGTTGAACTCTGCCTCTTTTTGGGTTCGAACGTGAGAGAATGCAACTTGTTTACGAAATCATTTGCGTAATAAGATTTAAGAAATCACCTCTTTTCCCGAGATCTGCAATGAAATTATACTTCATTCAATGTTACCCTTATTTGTCTCATGAACGATCACAGAAGTTTGCGTGACATCTTTATTGGCTCTCAAAAACTGAGGGCAAAAATATTATCAAACTCTTGGTATAAGGCATTACCGGCACTGAATAGTCGATACAATGAAAAAAGCGCAATGACCGGTACCTATGGTCCGGGGTAAAAACATTCATGCCGTGTGCTGCGAGGACAATAATTTTCAAAAGGGAAAGTTTAAATTATTTAATAGCTTCTTTCACTCGGTGTACCTTGCCTTTTCAATGCGTTTGTTTTCTATTGCCGAGTTGTTTGCCGCGCGTTAGCTGTGGGACGTATTGTAACGCGCATAAATGCTGTGTAGTGACACATCGCGCGGCAGACATTCGCGTCGCTTGGCTTGTTTTAAACAGTTGTTTACGTTCGCACGTATTGCGTGCCCATTGCAATTTTGGATCAAAACAAGCGAACTTGATTACTCTATTTGGGCGACGCCCAAATAATAACCGCAAAAATTGTTTAGGTGAAAGATAGTAAAATGAACTCGGTAACAGAAAATTGCTATTTAGGATGCTTGACTTGTTTTCATCAAGTGGTAGCGACAAGCATGTGCTCCCAAGTTCATCGAAAAAAGAAAAATAATAATAATAACGATACAATAAAAAAGACAACAGAGGGCGGTCAACAGTCTAATCAAGTAAAGCTAGATAACAGACAAAAGAAAACATTCACAAAATAGATTTGAAACTGTTATATAGTTTTCTTACTTACTGCTATAATGGCTTAAGCAATGGAGAAAATAATAATAATAATAATAATAATAATAATAATAATAACAAAAATAATAATAATAATAATAATAAAAGAGCAACGAGTTTAACCTGAAAGTCCATAATACGTTTCCTCTTAGAAGAAGTGGAACAGAGTCAGAGACAGTCACAGATTTGAATTCTTGCAACAATCGAGAAAACGTCAAATTGTTACAAGAAAACAAAATTTGTAACCATCCACTTCCACGCCATTGTTCCGAGAATGTCCTTAATGTTTTGTGAGAACTGAAAGCTCAAGTTAAATCTGTTTCAATAGTCACCCGTAGGGGATTCCAAACTAACCGTCAAACAGAGGTTCACCAGCTAAGAGGGACTGTGAGTTAGTTTTCTTTACAGCGAGAGTCTGTACATGTAATGACGAGGCGCGGGAAGACATTTTTTTTTTTTCGAAAACATTTGCTTTCACAGATAACACGCCCTTACATCTATATTGACTGCACGCAGAACCAAGTCCCCTGCAGAAAATACGTAAACAGACTGAGCAAACATTTTTTTAAAGATAAATTTATTAATTAAAGAAAAGAAAAAAAGCGCGCAACTACCAAGGAATGGACAAACATATTAATGGTAGGGAGATTAAAACGCTATCCTTAACAAGTAGAGAGGAAGAACCTATAAATGGAGTGATTTGTATATCAATTGCTGCCATCTTATAATTAATTACGATTTTTTTTGACAGCGAGGGGCATGACTGTTTTAACCTCGTTGTCTAATATAACAAGAGTAAGCACTATACAACTGGGCTACTGGGAGACTGGAGTGCCAGCACCCACCCCCCTCTTCAGGAGAAAATCCACCAAAAATCGACCAGACGGGTGAAGGCTTGGCGATTTAGCGGAAATATTCTCACTGAATTTATTACTTCCAAGTCAAATCGTTTTGAATTCCAAATTACCTTGGTTGCCTTGAGGTCACTCTCTAAGCTATGTCCTACCAGTATGGTGTCCTTATGAATCATGCTCAACAACACAGCTTGTACTTCCCGAATAGTAGTACTCACACCACTTAATGACTCTTCTGTTACTCCACTAAACCTAACAAAGAGCGTTTTACAGAAAATCAATATTCCAGTCACGAATTTGTTGACAGAGTAAAGGGTAGGGGAGAACAAAGCCAACCTTAGGCAGTAACTGGACAATTTAACAACACTTTGGAAAACCATTTACAATTCCTCAAAAGTTCCACAGAATTTAAATTTCAATTGAACAAACTACCAGTAATGGCTTTCTGTCATATATTCAGCCATGAGACTGTAAAGCTGACAAATGCAAACGTCAAAAGAGGGGGACCGCTGTGAAAATTTAAGGGAAATGAATCAGCCATTAATTGTCGATGTAAAGAGAAGAGGCTGAGCTTAAGGAATAATTAATTCAACTACCTTGTATTGTAGTCAACAATGGGTCTGTCAGGCCTAACAAATGTATCATAGACTCCTTCTAAATTCCAGTTTACCACTGTAATCCGAGTTAGCTCAAGTCCAGCAGTGGTGTAACACTATCAACAATAATTTAACAGTTTGTTAGAACAATTGTTGTTGTAAAGCTTCAACGCACTTTAAACAATGGACAGTACATGACTTGGAATTTTGATCGCCATAACTGGAATCTAGGGACCTTGGAGGTAACCAAGAAGTGTCAAGAAAGGTGCGAGGCCAGTTACAGTCAAGCCGGGTCAAGCATATCCCCCAAGATACCATTAATGAATCACTTAATTGAAAAATGAATCCGGCGTTAGTCATTGCCGCAACCAGTATCAAATTCGAATCTGCATTCCTGCATGCACAATAAGGAGTGAGTATTTTACAATAACTTCTCTGTATTCAGTCAGACAGAAAAATCTTTGGATGGACAATATTGCTTTGAAGGCTTTGCACCAAATTCAAGAATACTGAACCGGTAGAAATTTGATAACTACCTCGCGTGTGAATTCCCTGCTCATTACTCACGCACGAATGCAGGAACAAATGTGAAATCTACTAACGGATCAACTTTCGAATCATAAATCCATTAATGGCTTCTTGGGTTGTAGGCTTGAGCTGGCTTGACTGGAAATTTGTGATTTCAAGACGTCTGTAGTATTGTGTGAAATATTTCTGTAGGGCCTTTTGTAGGGAGTTGAAAATTATTCCATGTATACGAATTTTTAATCTTAAATCAAACAAAAGACCATTTTAAATAAACAGTCGAACTCTACTTTATGGACGGTTGCTTAATACGGACACACCTCATTACTGGGGAGTTGAAGATAATTACATGCATTAGAATTATCATTCTTCAATCAAATCGGCTTTGGGAAGGTTTACAGATGTTTAATTTCATGATACAATGTGCTGGTTTATTTCTTTAGTATTTTGTTCAAATAATAGGTGAGGTGTATTTTTGACGTCAGAAACATGATTCATTTAAAATGGAAACAGTGTTAATACAGACACGTTCTATGGACCTTAACTGGGTTTGACTGTATACTGACTAAAAATAAAATCTTAATGCCAATACTGGGTGTAATTAAACAAAAGAATTCACATTCACTTGAGGTTCAAAGTCAAGAAAATTAGTTTCTTTTGTTATATTCCCCACTAAAACCCATAGCCAAGGAGGACTTTCAACAGAATTATTAAGTATAAACATTTTACTTATCCATTTACATACGTTGTGTTTAGAGATCTATGTAAAGTACATATAATTAACGTTTGAGCTATTTTTTGGCCGATGGAATTCTTTGAGTTGGGTTAACTTTAGTGCAAAAGAATTTTTGGGCGTACAGTCAAACCTTTATTAAGCCATCACCCTTGAGGAATGGTTTATTGACCACTTCATACAGGTTTGACCCCTGAACCTGCGAGTTATTCAAGAAAATGAAGATGGTGTAGGAAAGAAAAATCGATCACACGACAAGTTGACCTCAGAGGGTCTCTACCTCTTCTTGGATCAAAAGAAAGAAGTAAAGGACCACTGAATGCCTATACACAGTGTACAAAGTATCTGTTGCACTAGCAGGGTATATCTTGTCAAAGCAACTGTTTATCTTGTAACAGAGGTAAAGACAATAAAAAAATAAGTAAATGTTGTTGGAAAAGGTGCCCCTGACTGCTTAATGGAGGTAACCACTTCATTATACCATTGATCAGTTAATAAAGTAAAATGATTGATGATTACGGAAATGATTTCCTGGACTTTGGTAAGTGATAGCTCAAAAGAGGGTGACTGATTAATACAAGTTTACTTATAAATACAGGTTTGACTGTGGTAATTATTACCGCTCCAGTTCACTATCCATAAAAAGTCACCTCAGCCAATTAAGTAGATCAGTGTAAATTACACTTAATCTTTTATGGCTGAGTGAATCATGACTAATGACTTTAAAATAGGTGCATAAAAATCACAAAAACGGAGGGTAGCTCAAGAGAGTATAATTATGTAGATAGTGAACAATACTTGTACCATTTCACAATCCATGGCATAGACCTTTCTATGATCAGACAATGGACTTCTTATTGTTGTCATAAAGCCATCAGTGTTTCCTGTACCATCACTAACATGAACCTTAAAAGTTTAAACAAGAAACAACTGAGCTACCAGTAGCAGAACAGCAAAATACAGCCTCTAGTGACGGTTTTGTGGTTTATACAGTGTACTGTGAACAAATGGCAGCATACAGTTTGTACAAGAGCATACTTACTGCAAAACAGTAAATACTGAATTAACAGTTGTCCTTTATTTTAGTGAGATGGTTTGTCGCTTATATGAAAAATGTCCTACTTTGGGCTCCCTGTCTACCATTAACATTTACTTTTTGGCCCCTGTGCATGTGTGCTATGTATTCAAATCTCACATATGTAATGTTCATCTAACTTGTATCTAGTTTATTTTTTTTTTCTTTTATAGCCCCCATTGAAGGTTTGTGTTGCAAACTGAAATATCAGGGAAATATAATTCACTACTTTATTTCTCTTTTATTTCTACAATTTTTTCCATCACTCCTCCTGTCTTAAGGATCAGTTTCCTGTTTTAATTTTAAAATTTGGTACTCAAGATTTCTCTGATCGAGGTCTACTAAAGATCCGGCTGACCCTCTCTAGATTGTCATTGTGGTTTTGCCTTCACAAGGGTTTCACTACAACAGAGCAATGGCACAGTCATATTGGCATTCAAAACCAATAAGATAGTGGTTATGTTGGTGTTCCAAACCAATCCTGTGGAAGTTGGACTTGTTTCTTACATGAATGCTTTCTCTTGTTAGAATAACCTTCCATAGATGCGGACCACACAAGTGAAAATGTTCTATTATCAATGTGAGTATGGCACTATTTATACTTGCACAGATGCGGGCCACACACGTGAGGATGTTCTATTGTCAATGTGAGCATGGCACTATTTATGCCCGCCTTAATAGCTCTTTTTTGAAAAATATCAGGAAAACAATGTCAAGTCTTACTTTTCCAACACAGCAGCCAGGACTGCCTGCATCTCCCTGACAGCATGAATAACTCTGTTCCCCTGAGGAAAATACCAGGATCTTACTTTATAGTGTAATATCTACAAGTTGCTGGAATCCCGTCAGTTACATTGTTTAAGAAATACAGTATAAGTATGGCAAGTATGTTTTACAAGCAATTATTGTTAAATGCTTGCTCCAGAAACACTTCTCTCATCTTGAGTATAAACAATGTTCCCTTTACTCATGAATCCAGCGACTACTGGTACATAATCTAGTGGTGGTGAACAGCCCATGATTCCTTTTTCATATATCATACAAGGCTAATCTAATAGGTTTTATCATAAAAGCAATTTGAGTGGCCTTCAGTTACCTCTTCTCCGATATAGTTTTCCACCATGATAAATACAGTCTTCTTTTCTTAAGTACTCTCCATCTTCAAGGACAACATAGGGCTTGCCACAGCGACAACATATTCTCCTTGATGCTAAAGAATCAAAGTTGTCAGAGATGTTAGAACAACAGTCAGCACTTGTACACTAGACACTGATATTGTCAAATATGCCTTAACTTTTTCACATGGTCAAATTAAAGCATGCTTAACCATGTTGATCGTTCAGAGCATAAAAACCCTATGTCTTACAGTCTTTAGAAGGTGACTCCTTATTAGCTTTGAAAACTGCTTTTCCTGGGGTTGAATGGCAAGGCCTAGGATAGCCATTTTCAACTAAATCTTCCTCGCTCATCAGGTACTTGGATAGAAAGTCATACATCAACTCTTCTGTAAATGTAAAATAGACCAAAAAATGTAACAACAACACAACGCTTCAGCTTCAGTTTCAGTCCCCTGCATGAGCAATAATATAATAATAATTCTGTTATTTACCCTCGGCAGTATCACAGGAAAAAATAACGGATTCCCATTTTTCGATATTTTAGGGTATTTAAAGAATACCCATAAAAATCCCAAACTTGGCAAAGTGAGAGAAGTCCCAACCAGGAAATTCCCAACCAAGTTCCCTGATTGGGACTTGTCTCACTCTTCCGAATTTGGGATTTTTGTGGGTATTCTTTAAATACCCTAAAATATCCAAAAATGGGAATTGGTTATTTTTTCCTGTGTATTTATAGCACTTATGCTAGTGGGGCCGAGCTGGCTGGAGACAAACCAGCTGGCTATTTAAAGGCATGGCCGAGGATTTGAACTTGGGACTACCGTGAACAAATCCAGCTAGCAGTCAGAGCAGGACTTGAACTCAGGGCCTCCAAATTGCAAGTCCAGCACTCTAACCACTTGGCCAGGCTGCCTCCTCCTCAGGAGTACAGTTGACACCTGGAAGGAGGAGGGATACTATCATATTATATGGGCTACATAAGAACATGTATATACGATATGAAATCAAGCAGTTTAGTCTGGGATAGGGTATAACAATCACAGAGTTTGGGTCTATAAATATATGTTAAAGAAACTGATCAAGTGGTTCAAGATTTTAGTCTAGACTAGGAAACCTAGGGAATATCACTCACAAGTAAAAAAAAATGAAATCAGCAAATTCAAATTTATGAGCAAAGCAGTTTAACAGAAAAGGAAGCATCAATGGTAGTTTCTAGAAAAAAAATGACTCTAGGATAGGGAGGGATTTTTGGAGTTTAGTTTATTACAGGGTAGAAAAATTCAGCTGAGCTACATGTACGTCTGATTTAAGGTTTCCAAGGTCCCTGGATCGAGTAGTACATCCCCACCCAAAAATTTTTTAATTACCCCCTCCCCCCCTCTTAGATTCAACTCTCGCTTTGTGGACACCTTTTGTCTGGACTGCTAAATCCCCAGCGAAGAATACCATAAACAAATAATGATACAGGCATTGAACAGAAATGAACTCCTAATACTATGGTCCTGAGGATGTTCATACAATGGGAATTGAATTACTGTTGAGCTGTTGAATGGTTAATGAAAGTTCCAAACAACCTGGACAACGGTAATAACAAGTCTTTTATTTGGTGTTTCCTAACAATTTTAGGATTGTAAATTTACCCCATGCAAACACTGCACTTTTAAGCCTGGCATTCACTAGTGCATAAGCATAAGCACAAGCACAAGCACAAGCACTTGTGTAAGCAAGTGAAAATACCGGCAACATACAGTAAGCATAAGCACAAGAAAAACGGACATTTTCATTCTTCTTGTGCTTCGAAGAATGATGCTTGTTCCGCCATCTTGTTTACGTCTTTATGCTTTTGCTTATGCACTAGAGAAAACCAGGCGTTACAGGTTCCTACAAAACCTGGGTAACCTGTGGTATGATAGACTGCAGTGATAGCCACTTATCCAGCCTTTCTAGACCTAGCAACGGTGGGTACTTTAAAAAGATGTTTATAGCACACTGTAGTGATCAAAGATCGTAAACACTTGGACACTCCTCATCGCCGCGCCAAAAATAGCAATTTATAAAACTGCGCAAATCAAACCATGTATCAAACCTGTAATTTTCAAGCGTGTTCTATTGCTTGATGATACACTCTTTCTTTCTTCTTCAAACTTACACACAGCGTGCGAAGACAGCACAAAAGATAAGAACAGAACTGCTAAAACGAAGCAGTAAAACACCGAGTCAAAATCAATCATCCATAAAGGCATGGCTGCTGAAGAAATAGCCCTACTCGTCTAGAGCTTGCTCCTTGAGATCAACAAAAAGTGAAAGTTCTTCCGAGGCAGCCAGAGGCCGTAGAGGCATTGTAGTGTATTCTCAATTACTCTGCTTAACTTCAATATTCCATGACAAGTATGTTAAAACAATTTTGAATGCCACAATGCCAGTCGCTTGCAGAAGAAGACATTTTTCGAAGAAGTGCGAAACAGAACTCTCGACCTCTCGGAACAGGTTGAGCCGCCATCTTGGGATTCCGATAGCGGGAGGAGGACTGGAGCGAGATTCTGATTTCTCCAAAAACATTCGCTTCTCGTTTCCGGTTCCGGTAAGTAGGTCCCTCAGCTTTCCCCGCTTTCCCGCTCGCTTTTCCACCGAAAACATAAAAAATTTCTAGCTCACGCTTTGCGCTCGAGAAAAAGTTTGAGCTCCACTTGTGGGCAAGTCTAGGAAATCCCTATTAAAAATGGATTGGCTACATATTTTTGGCACGAAGACCGCTTTACCCAAATCCAGTGAAATGCAAGGGTCATGGCTCTTGTCATGACTCGTGAAAAATTCAGATCTCCTTGAAATACTGAAAGTCACTCTGCTGAGCTCTTGTAGATTTCAAACTCAAAAAAAAAAATCATCGAAACTCAAATGACACTAACTAAAACACTGTCATCGTCATTTTGGCAGTTATTTATTTGCCCTTTCACAGACTGAATCATAGAATAATTATACCTGGGCAGTACCTCTCAGCAAACCCATTTGGGAGGATAGACCCTAAATTTTGGTAGTCACGTGACCGTATGCGCTCCGTCCGCACCACAGTATAACCACTGGGAAATGACTTTTTAATTTGAGTCGAACCTGCGTGCAACCTGACGGTGTACTGTTTCTTGATGATAGACGTCCATGTTACGGACTTTTAGAGGAAAACAGCAAAAAAACAAAAAACAAAAGAAAGCCGCGCGAGTCTCATTTTCGACCAGGCTGACGCGGATAACAGAGAAAGAGCTAGAGCGAGAGATAAAAACAAACAAACAAAGAAGACAAATTTCGTTAGAAACAAAACATAAAAATTTTATAGCGGTGGTGAGAAAACGAGAAATGTTAGTAGCCAGTAAACTGAACATGCGCGGCTTTGAAAAAGAAAGCGAAAAGGAACCCAAGCAGCCAATTTTTTGGGGAGAACATACGACATTTCCTTCGTAAAACATGTGCCTAGAAAGTTTCACGCTGTGGTCGTGCAACAACAACGGTAAAGAAAAGTACAAAAAAAAGTACGCTGCACGTGCAATACTGATTTTTTGCTAATTAGACCTATCGTCGTTGTTGTTGTTGATGGTGTTTCTTGGCCGTTCTCAATGCCGTCGCCGTTTTGACTAGCATTACACGACTATTTTTTGCGTGAGTAAATTTTAAGTATAGTAACGAGAGCTTCGCTTTTAGCCCTGGCTCAATCTTTATATAGGACCAGTGTGTTATTTAAATTTTGAACAAGAGATGATCCTTATAATTTTCTTTTGTAGCCTTCTTATTGGTTCTAGTCTTGTTGTGTTTGTGTTTCCCCATGCAATGTTTCCATAACTTATATCGATAGATCAATGCGTAGCACGGACCTTGCATAGCAACGCGACAAAGTATACCGGAATTTGTGCAATTTTGCTGCAAACATGACTTATTTGACTTTTCCAGTTAACATTTCCGTCTATATGAACTCCTAAGAATCTGGCTAATTTTACCTGTTTGATAGCTGAACCGTCTAAACTAGTGACTATAATGTTTACATGCGCACACAAGTAAAATTGCGTGCGAAAAATAAATCCGTGAAGGTAATATAAAGGTTGAACGTAAACGTAAAACGGGATCTTACGATCCGACAACGGCCACGTCCATAAAAACGTCGTTTAAAAAAAAAAGAAGAAAAAACTTTGCTTGAAGTGACGTGTTGCCTCATACGGAGGCAACGTGGCCGATTGGTTAGAGTGTTGGAATTGAAATCCGCATGCCCCGACTTCGATCCCCTCCCTAAACGCTAGCTGGATTTCTTCTTGATAGTCCTGAGTGCAGCTTCTCAGTCACGCTCGTAAATAGCCAAATGGTTTGCCTCCGGCCAGGTAAAATTCTTAACCTCCTTCTTGTCCACAGTCCAAACTAATGGTTTTAATACGATAATAATTTGTGTTACCCTTATAAAAGCCTTTTTTATTCCAAGTACAACGCGGGCTCTTGAATCAAGGGTTCTTTGATTTCAGTGGTTGAATGAAAGAATATACTAAAATTCATTAAACAAATACACTAAAAAGGGCATAAAAAGTAATATAACTTAAGTACATGTCACCGATTTCGACCTGGGGTCATGACTCGTCAGCCCCGGTACAACCAGGGGAATGTGTGTTGGGGAAAACCAACAGTAAACAAGGCTATGAGGACAACTTCTTTAGCAAAGCGCATTTCTACCAATTACTACAACTGAAAGACACCCATAGAAAAAATGAACAAATGTAAACGAAGATATGATGTCGCAGTGGTAATTGCAAATTAAGCAATTGCAAATTAATCCGGAAAAGATTTCGGAACTTCAACGGGATTCAAACCCATGGCCTCTGCGTTAGCGCTGCAGTGCTCCAACCAATTGAGCTATGAAGACCCATACATTGGGAGCAGTTCACATCATCATTCTATAAATAAACAAGAAAACCACTCTTAAAATGCAAGCAAATAAATAAATAAAGTCAAAGCTGACACCTGTTAGATCGTTTGACGCTGTGGTAACCGGTTGATCTTGTTTTGCTGGACTCTTTGTGCTGATCACTACTGCTCCTGATGGCAGAGTCTTGGTGACAGCTACTCGCGTAATAGTCTCGGTTTCCACAGGTGAGGTGACTGGCAGCTCCTGTGGCTTCATCTCTCGAAGTTTCTTTATTGCATTCACACAGAGATTCAAGTAAACCTGCCGCCTGGTGCTCCGTTCGTACAAGGCTTGCTCCTCTTCCACAGCCTGGAAAGCAAATTACCAAATAGTAAATAAATGGAATTGACATTTTACGGTCTCTCACTTCGACCGTCTTTTGAAACCCTTTCAGTACCAAAAACACGCGTGATTAGATTATGAGTGATAGAAGGTCCAAACGCGCGTGATCAAAATGCGCCCTGTGCATTCCACTCATTCCTAGAGGCAATCCCAACGAATACTGGCTACATACATGCGACGCATGGGTAATGACAACTTGGAGATTAGGATTGCGGGTCCCTTTTGTCGCCTGCAACTACCATCTAAGCAACGTTACCTTTTCAAAAGCTTCTTTTTCGGTGGGATAGATTCTTAGACACTCATCAACAATCCTGTCAAGGTACCTCTGTCGTTGGTTTTGAGGTACCTTAGCACCATATTCTATAGGAATTCTAGGTCTCGGCAAAGATCCAGCTGGGGTAGTGTTCTTTGACACATGTGCAACACGTTTCTTTACAGGCTTGAAGCTGATGGTGTTGACTGAGCCTTCTGCTGCTGATCCCTAAAACAAATACCACTGTTAAATGACAATGCAGGAAGAAAAAGTGGCATTCATTTCGAAAAGGTTGTAGAATGCAGTTTATTGTTCATTCAAAGTATTTTAAACTTCTAATAATTCTTCACAACCGACCAGCGCTTATCATATTTGGATGCAAGCAATACATCATGGAGTCGATGTCATGTTTGCTTGAAAACGAGGTCGATCGATGGCATATTTGCGTGGAAACGAGGCTGCATGGGCATTAGAGAACTAAAACAATACCTTTCACGGCTATCCGAAGACGAAATAGCTCAATTTCTGACTACAACTGAGAGTACAACACAGAGCCTCTCTATCCCTTAACTGTTACCTAAAAACACACTAAGTTTTGTGCGAGCACCCACCACGCTCGTCGAAGAAGAACTTGCCGGCTGATCTTTGTTCTGCATTGCTGATATTGTCTTGGGGTACCTTCGGATTGGATTAGCATTAGATGACAATCTCCGTGGTAACTGCAGTGCAAAAATTCAACAAAATCAATTAAGGTGCAACCTACCATAACAATGTATGGAGAAACGTGCGTCAAAATCTTAAGGTTCAGGTCTTTTAAATGATTGTCTCACCTCTATTCTTAGCATGATAATCATAGAATAATTGATTTTTACACATATCGCATATTACTTAGCCTCCTTTTCTAGAACGAGGAATATTATATTTGAAGCGCACTAAATGACTCGAAAATAGGGGACTAAGTAACTGCATGGGGCGAAATGACTGGTTACCGCTGTGATGTACAATATCGAGTTTAACCAACAAAGACGGCGACGGCTACGAAAACGTTCGGGCTTAATAAGTGAAGTAGCGCTGCATCAAACTTTATCGCACTTATTCCATCTTGTTCCTTTCGTCAAATGTTGGCAATTTTCTCAGGAGTTGAATTCAAAAAGACTGTATCTAAGTTCAGGAAAAGAAAAAGAAAGTCGCTGTCTTGTGTTCACTGTGTTCACATCCTCCGAGAAACGTGGAATTAGGCAGTTTCACGTCGTAGTCGTGCACTGACGGCAAAGAAATGTACAAAAAAGCATGATGCACGTGCAAAGTTGTTGTTTAGCCAATCTAAACCAATTGCTTTTTTGCCGTTCTCGTTGACGTCGACGTCGTCGTTACTTAAGTTTCCTAATATCATACACTAAGCGCTTACAGTTTTTTGTAACAAACCTGTCCAGGTTCGTTGTGGGTTCTGTACAGTACCGCGATCATTTAAGGTCGAGGATCATTTGCGGTCCGTTTTGGGGATCATTTGCGGTACTGTACAGTTCTCGCCCTTGCCCTGAAAGATCATAAGTACTCTAGCTTTCCCCTTCCCTCAACAAACAAGATGTTAGGGACTTTAAGTCCAACGACGCGACGGCAACAAGAACATCACTTAAAAAGTGAGTATGCGTTCTTGCAGTCTTTATAGCGATTATTCCTAGCCACTTAATACTTTGTCAAATGAAGGCAAACATTCCGGAGTTGAATTCTTAGGAATTATATCCAAGTTCAGAAACTAGAACTAAAATTTTGTTGTTGCTTGTTCACTAACGCTCTCCATATAACTCAAAATTAGGCATTTTCATGTCGCAGTCGTACGTGCAAAAAAGGCAAAGAAATGTACAAAAAAGTGTGCTGCACGTGTAAAGTTCTTGTTTTGTTTATTACAACTATTGTGTTTTTTTTTACGTTCTCGTTGCCGTCGTTTCGTTGCATCTTAAAGTCGCTATTAAGATTCTACAAATTTGATGCAAGATGGCGGCAGGTGAAAAGCCACTGTGTGTATAGGCTACCACTGAAACACTTACTATCAACTCTCGCGCACTAACACAGTGATCAGCAGTTAGAGCCCCATTACTTTACGTCAGTAGTAAGTAGTTGGGGAATTGAACATCTAGAAAGTTAAATGGTTCCATGTTCCATGTGAGGGTGGCCAGGGGTCTTGATCTTAGTAGGGTTCTTTGGGGGAAATCTCTGCCCCCCGGTCCCTAGCTCTTAGTGGGGAGTTTAAGTTTCACGTATAGGGCAAACGGCAAACGTCAGATTCAGGTTGAGAATTTCTCAAAATAGAAAATGAGCAGGTAAAAACAGCTCAAAACAATTCTTATAGATAAAAAATTGTGTGAACACGTGTTACAAATTCGCGTTTGCCGTTTGCCATAAACTTGATGCTTAACTTCTCTATAGGCGAATCTTTGCTGACGTCACTGTTTACATTTTTCCTCATTACCATACGACTTAACTCATAGAAGCCGTGGCCGTATATATGAATTAAATGCAAAAGTCGAAAGAGCTGATAAAGTTGGGCAATTTGTGCAATTTTCAGCTCTTTGCGAGCAATATTGAAGGAAATATCAGCCATCAAAAATTGCAAAATAGCTGTGTGGCAAAAAAGGTTAATGAGCCATACATTCTCTGTAAAATTTCGAGTTTTTAGAGGAGAATTTCTCCGAAACCGTTTGGTGTATTGGGCTCAAATTTTCAGAGATAACTGAAACTGTGATGCCCTTTCAATATTCAGAGTTTTTATTTTATTAGCGTCATCAGACAGTGATAAGCATATGGTAATGAGGCAAAAAGTGTAAACAAAGATTCGCCTATAGACAAACCTACAAGGTCAATGGATCATTTTACGTTTCTGGGAATCTGCCCACCTACCCCTCCCCTGTGCCAACATTTTGCCCTAAGTGACAAGTACAGTCGAACCAGTATTAAGCGGTCACCCTCGGGGAAAGGCTAAGTGACCGCCTAAGTAATACAGGGTGCAAGAAATACAGTTTAAAGAATTCGATCTCCAGTGCTGATCAGATTAGACGTTTGACCTCAAATAGAAACATTCATTTTTGGCGTTTTAATGATTTGCGACTGTAAGTGTTAATGTTGGCTTAGGGGAGGGGTAGGTGGGCAGATTCCCAGAAACGTATAATGATCAAGGTCAATTGTGCAAAATTGCATTACTGTACACCATAACAGAAGCCCTGCTACTTACATGATTAGCTGTATGCGCCACACGCTGCTTTTTCCCAAACCCTAATGTATCTGCCATGGAAGGCTTCTCCTCAGATGCTGTCGCTGCTGCAGCTGCCGCATAAGTTTTCTTCCTCTGGACCTCAGTTACAGTTTGCGTTTGGCTTTTTACTGGTGACTCTTCAACCAATTCAAAGTCGGGTTCTGGATCATACTCATCCCAAATCTGTTTAAGATGACTGTCCTCTTCAGAGCTTGAATCAGCATTTGCTGTACTCAAAGCGTCACTGTCATCGCTTATCAATATTGTAACACCTTTAGAAAACTTTCGTTTTAAGTCTTTCCGCTTATCCAAACTTCCGGTCTCCACCTTTGCGGCTCTAGCAGTTTTAACTGGAGATAACATTTCTTTGCTTTTCTTTGGTCTTTCTGCTTTGCTACCTTTTTGCGCCTTTTTAGATCCAAAGAAATTTATTTCAGCCTCAGATATCACCTTTTTCTTCGCAGCAGGTGAAGTTTCCACAGAATCGTCCTTCACAGAAATCTTTCTTTTTAAAGTTCTAGCACTGCCATCAGTTGGCTTTTTCTTTTTTGGTATAACATAGGGCACTTCTAGCACTGGCATGTCTTTACCAATCAGAGACATTTTGGTAGAACATTCAATTTCCTGAAATGATTTCGATGCAGACTTCAAAAATTCATCCAGTGCAGTACTAGGTCGTTCTTTGTTACACACTTCACTCCCTTTCAAAATTGCTGATTCCTTAACTTTTTTAGAATCCTTTGATGGACCAGCAGATACACTGCCATCTGTAATACAAGTTAACTGCAATGATTTCTTTCTCTTACTGACTACATCTGATAGAGATGTCTTGTCTTGACATTGTACAGCTGAAGGCTTTGTTGTTATTTTTGTTGTTGTGGATGTTTTAAGAGGAACAGATTTCCTTCTTTTTAGTATTTTATCAGTTTTTTCCTCAATATTAGCATTTGCATTTTCCCCAGAGATAGCAACATCGTGTTTTTCTGCCATAAGAGTACTGCTTGAATCCACATGCATTTCAACTTCCATCTCCTCTTTCCCTTTAGAATTAACCAACGCTTTATTTGTTGTATCCTTGGAAATCTCGACTTTTATTTGAACATCGTTAGAAGTATCAGTTACATGTAAGTTCACATTCATAGCCTTTTCACTGCAGGCAACAACATCTTTGCTCCCTTTGTTTGTAAGAGCAGAAATACAATTGTTTGAACTTGAAGGGCAACTAGAATCTGCAACTAGGGAATTTTTCGTTTCTGGACTTCTACCTGATCCAGAGTCAATGCTTATACTGGGTGGGTGCATCATGAGTCCAATAATCTGCTTCTCTTCATCGGTGAGAGATGCTACAGGCTGTTCCATATCATCAAATGACTCTGTACTACTTTGTTCAGTTCTCACTGAGTCAGACATGCTTGTATTTTTACCTTGTTTGGGTCTTGGTGAATCTCTATGGTTTGACTGTTTGGTGATTTCTTCACCTGACTTTTTCAAAATGCTTTTAATAGCTGTTGTTGTTTTTGTTGATGCTGTTGTCGTCGTGGTTGATGTCTCAGGTTTGCCATCCTGATGAACAGAACCTCCTGCCTTGATGTCAGAAGAGGGGCCTTTAGATAACGGTTCCACATGTCCTGCAGAACGATGCTCGTCTGTTTTCAGCTTGTGAGGGGAGATTTTACTTTTTGATGCCTTTAATCCTGTAGCAATAAAACACAAAATCTCTTTTGCTTTCCACCGCAAGCAGACCCCTTTATAAAGGACAGAAGCAATAAGCATTTTCAACCCCTAACTCCCAAGGGCTCCACTGTGGGCATTTCATTTTCAGAAGAGACAGTACATCTCATCCATAATGGGGTCAAAATAAAAATGCCAAAACGTCCCTTCTTCCCTAGCCTCCAACGCAAGCGTTTGTATGCGAGCTCGCAGTTCGTCCCTCCCACAAACACATGCTCAACCGAGAAAAACATTCCTTTCCCATTGTTTTATTTGTGTGGTAAGTGACCAACCAACAAAGATGACCATAAGCTCGTGGCACTGCAAAAACATGACCTTAGAGTTACCTGTTTTCTTCTTTTCTTTCCTTTGCTAGGGTTGTGCTGTGCACAGAGTTTTCTAAAATCTAAATCTTACTTTTGCCACTCTGAGTCTAACATTTACTATTAGAGGTCATAAAGCTTTCCCAGTGTTTCATGCAGATCGAGTAATTATCAGGTTTCCCTGCGGTAAAGGTCAACCTTTAGATTGGCTAAGCTTGGGAAAGGAATGTTGTTCTCGGTTTAGCAGGCGTTTGTGGGGAGGGATGAAAGACAAGCTCTCCTAAAAACGCCTGCAAGGGAGGCTACTTCCTCCCCCCCCCCCCACCAAAAAATCAACCCAATCAAAACAGAAGCATTTAACCCTGAAGCATCTAAATTCTCCTTATTATCTGTTAAGAACCATGCTGGGTTTTTTAGCTGTCCAATCAGAAGCAAGGAAATTTTTTTGCCCAATTATGAGGTAATATGGAATCAGAATCAAGAATTGAAGGTACATGTATCCCTGTCTAAGAAGTAGCCAATAATGGATTCTTCCTGGTCCTTAACAATTCTTCAATTACATCCCTACATGTAACTTGATAGTGTTCTCTGAGCCATTAAGATAATCAACGCACAAAAATATTTACATTCATAGGGAGTAGCCGATGAGTGTGCATTTATTTGCGGGCACTACACTATGCGATAGCGTGTATGAATTATTTTTGCAAAGACTTTCAATTAGTGCTTTCCCATCTCAGTGCACATTGTGATACATTTTATGTTTTTCTGACTGGCCTTTGTCCAGTGCTCTTAACCCTCAGGTGTACACTCAAAGTCATACCCCCATGGTGGTACAGGGGGTGGGTTAATGGAACCCCCACCCCCCCTCCTTGAGTTTTTGACATGTTGCAGTATTTTGAAATGATTTTGCTTTCAGTGGAAAGCCTTTGATCTTCTCTACAGTATTTTTCTGGGTAGTGGCGCTGCTGGAGGTCTGTGACGTCACAAAATAACACATAAATAATTCCTTTTCATCATTTTATGCACAAACTTTACTTTTATTCCTAAAAAAAGTTGAAAATTTTACTCAAAAATGGCTTGACCAACTGCTACTTATGACGCAATATCTTGTAACCAAAGTAACTGACCATCACTAAACTTGTCTAAAAATGCGCTTAAAGGATAAATGAAAAGCTACAGAAAACTTCAGGTGCTGATGTTTTATCGTCTAGGAAAAAAAATGAGAAAACCTTACGGGGGTCGGGGGTGGGGGCCACCACAAACCAAAATTGGTTCTCAAAAAAAAAAACCAGCACTGAAACAGAGTTATTGAAGATTCAGGGTTATTTGCTTCTGATCAAAAGTAATAATGCCTGCAAAACAAAATCAAATATGCGACCAAGCTCTAACATAGCAAATGTGTCATTACAGATACCGAGTGCAAACATTTACACGTGGAACATAAATACAACAAGGGCCAAGAGACTGACAAAATTTGTTTGCTATATCGAGGTTTCATTAAATCAAGGTTTTCTTCCTTTTTTTCATACATTTTACTATTACTGGGCCAAAGAGAGTCATTTGTTATACCAAGGACTTCGTTGGAGTTTTGTAATATTGAGGTTCCATTGAGGTTCCACTGTAATCCACAATCCCTGGCCTTCCAGGGATAACTACACTGAGAAATCCCAGCAACCCCCAAAAACTACAAAGCAAAATTGTCTTACCCCAGGACCCAGTTGTTCACAACCCCCGTTATTAAACTAATCCACAATTAAGCTTAAGCGTGGGTTAAAATTTATTGCTAACACCTGATTAGCTAATCAGTGGAATTGAGAGCATTGTGCAAAGCCCAATTAGACTTGCCATTAGTTAATTGCTGATTAACGGTTTGCACTCAGTGTAAAACCATTTATTTTGTCTCCCTAATCGACGACTAGCAACCTATAATGAATCTTTCCCTAAGGTTTCCAATATGGCATCTGCAGAAAAAAGAAAGCAGATCAAGGTGGCCACAAAAAAATAATTAGTCAGACTGGAAAATAACCATATTGACAGAAAAGGTTGAGGAAAATTTGGACCTTACAAGGTTTAAATTTTCCGACAGCATTACTGGCACGAAGAAGAATGGTACTGAATAGACCCTTTGCCGAATCTGTAGCGAGCCCGAAGTGCTTGATCACCATAAGTGAGTATACTATCGTTGTATCGATAAATTCATGGGCATCTTTGAGAGATGAAAAAATATATCAGCCATTTTGTTTCAAATTTAATCGACCAAGTAGGGAATTAACCTTCCTCCAGAGGTGTATTAAATTTAACCCACTGATTAGAGTCAGTCGATTAGCACTAATCAGGCTTTGTTGAGTAACGCAATCTAAGCATGGATTAAATTTTAATCGCTGATTAGCATGTCTAATCATGGATTAGTGCTAACGGAGTTTCAAACAACCGGGTCTAGAGCTCCAAAGCTCTAGGTACTTCTCTGGGGGTGGAGTCAGAAGAGGGGTAAGAGAGGGGTGGAGATTAAAAGTTCCCCCCCCGCCCCCCCCCCAACCCAACCCTTTGAGCCTAAAACTGAAAAATGCAATAAGGCAGAGAGCTGACATTTAAAGTTTCTTGCTTTCATTTGGGTTAACCACTAGTTATCATGTCACTGATACATACCAATAGGTACAAGCTTGTTTTTCAAAATCAAGATTAATATCATTAATTAGATGATTTCAAAATTCTGCTTCCTATTCCCCCTTTTTGTTTGGAAGAACTGACATTATTGCAAGATAAGAACTATAAATCAAAGGAAAATCTCGACTTTTATCGCACGTAAACTCTTCCTTTCAAAAAACATGCTGTACGTACCAGGTTTGCTGTGTCGGAAATGGCAATATGGCCGGTGGCATAAACCATGAACAAAGAAAGGGCAGTTTGTGCTCCGAAAATATCCAGCTGTGGGGAACATTGTTGCGAAAAGGCTTCAATTAAGTTATTTCGAAGATAACATTCCACATTACTTGAGGAAACAGAAGAAAGGGACACTGTTTACATCGAAAGTGTCTGTTCCATGCTCGATGGCAGACGTTTCACAAAACAACCTTGGTAGCCAAGCATTGGCAGCCAGGCCAGGCTGCTAATGTCAATGGCGGGCAGTATTTGACATTTGTGACAGATGAACGTGGAAGTTTTAGCTCGCGTTCGGCCTCCAAAACGGGGAGAGAACTTTTCTCTCAATCTTTCTGGGACTCGTGTACAAGCAGGCGATGGAACTGGTCACATTTTCAGTGCGGTACACAAGTCTGAGTCACTGACTTACGATATATTTAGAGATGCATTTTCCTCCCTTGTGGACCTCTTGGTTTCTGGTTACAATGTCTGTGTACTGGTTTTTGGCGAAACAGGCTCGGGAAAGTCTTACTCTGTTGCCGGAGAGAAAACTTCAAAGGCAGGATTAGTTCCTTTGATGATAAACGCCGTGTTCACGCGAATAAAAAATGAGAGATCGGCAAGAAGAGATTTAAGGGTGCAAAGAAATGACCTTAACGACGGAGTTGTTTACGTGCAGTTATACGAAGTTTACAATGAGAAAGTAAGAGATCTCCTTGTGCTTCCTCATGAGGGTAAGTGCTGAAATCTTAGTGATGTCTGATGATCTGAAGGCTCTTGCAGCGTGAAAGATTTGCAGCCCAGAAGTAGTTGACTGGGTTAAGTGATACAGTGGTCCAACTCTTCGCTTATGAACCTCTTGACCACCAGAGTGGGGTTGGAGAAGGAAATTATAACTTCCATTTCCCACCCCTTCCCTCCACCAACACAGTTACCCACATATACTCTAAGTTAAGACCAAATCCACCCTGATGGGTAATCCCTTTAGTGGATAATCCTGACCAGCACTGGTATTTAACGGCAGCAGAGTTACCGGTAGCTCAGTCAGTAGAGCGCTTGACTCCAGAGCAGGAGGTCGTGTGTTCCCAGGGCTGGACCGACACTCAGTGTCTTAAAATAGCCTAGAAATGAAATGAAGGTACTCCCTTTGCACTGCAAGCAGCTAGACCTTCGTCTGGCACGGATGACCACTTAAAATGGCAGTCCCATCTCCAGTTGGTGACGTAAAAATAGTGTCCCCAATTAGTACTTTATTGCTAAATACTCTGACAATGAAATTAAGTGCCTTTTTGTATGATCAAGTTAGATTGTAAAAGACCCTGGTTAGCTTTTCTCAAAAGACCCGGAAACATTTCAGACCCATAACAGGCTGGAAAGCTGTTATGCTTGTATTCAAGAAGTAGCCTGTAAAAACAGCTGACATTTAAATGTGCTTTCACTGGTTCCCTTGTGAGCTGGAAGAACTAGTGGTGACATTGTGAAGTGTCTGCTGTTTACTCAGGCTACCAAGAAAGAGGTTCAAGTAGTTTTGTAGACATCCTTGCATAATTATTATAATACCGGTAAGATGTAGACTTTGATGTGAATATTTGATGTTGGTCCCGAAAGTTCACCAAGACAGGCCCCCGTGAACTGAGTGAGATTTCTTACACCTTAGCCTAGCACTTGGTTACCGGGAACTTTGACTCATAAATACTGTAAAATGCAGTGTTAAATGTGGTCTAGTACAGGCTTAAGTTTCTCAGGATCCCATGGGATGGCACACACACCCACATCAGCCCAGTGAAAATGTCACTCAGTAGTAGGCAAGGTAACTGCTGTAGTTGGCAGAAAGGGCTTCTGATTGTGTAGATCTCACTTAGCATTATCAAGTTTGCAACTGTAAGTATTGATCTTCACGATGATCCACAAAATTGATTGAGTAGCTGTTTTTTCCTCTGAATCAGATTTTATACAAATTACATGTAAAGCTGAAGAATTAGTGTGCAGAATACCTGTAACTTTACCTTGTGTTCTATCAATGCACTTTCTTTGGAACTTCAGGTGGCTTATTAATCAACATTATTTTTAATAATTTTTCCAGAAAGACACATTGATGTACATGAGGATGGACGAAATGGAGTCTATTTGCAAAATGCTACTTATAAGAGAACTGCTGATGCTGCAGAATGCACCAGCTTGTTTCGTCAAGGATGGGCAAACAGAACAAAAGGGCCGATTGATTATGAAACTAGGGCTGCTGTGTTCTTTTCTCTTGACCTTTCTATGGTAAGGATAGCAGCAAAATGGATAGCAAGATCTGTGTAACTGTAAAGCATAATATGACAATAAGAAGGTGTGCTTCAGTAGATGTGTTGAACTTTGCAGATCAAAGACTGCAAATCCTTAGCTGTACGTGTAAATATGATAATTATATAACCAGGTATAAAAAGGCACATTAATTTGTAGTACATGAAATTTTAAATTGATCAGGGAAAAATATTTCCAAGACACTTTCTAAACCTCCTCAATGCAATCCAACATCCTAGCCCTGTGTTAATTAGTTAGAACAGGATACTGGTTCCTGGATTCCAGATTCTGTAGCAGCATGAGATCTAGTGCTGGCAAGTACTTGACTTGTATATACATGTAGGCTTGGAAGGACAGAGCTCTGGAGTGTTTAAAAATTGATACTTTCCAACTACGATTGTTGCTGCTTAATAGAAGACTATTATGACCTCTCAAGGAGCCATCTGAATAACTTTGGCTTTGCCGCACTAGCACCAAGTTCATTCCTTCTAAGCAACACAATTTTTACACTGCACTGGACTGAGGTCAGAATCGGGGATAGGAATGTTTTGTGTTGTTTCAGCACATTTATCCTTAGTGGTACTCCCCTATGATGGGTTTCTGTTTGAGTTCTCCACTTCCAGTCTATCTTCTATAATTAATGATCATAAAACATTCAGCTGTAGACATAGTTTTGACTGACCCTCAGTTGGTTGGGTATGTAATTATTCACTTTATTCCAAAGCCACACAATGGTGTCTGGTGACACTATAATTATGTGTGGCAAAGTATAAACTGTTATTAAAATAAAAAAAAAAGGTATACAGTATTTTTTTATTATTTTACTATACAGATTCCAAAAGATAGTCAGGATCCTTTCACTTCTCGGTTTCTAGTGGTTGACCTGCCTGGTGCAGAGAAGCTGTCTGAAGACCCAACCCAACTTCGAATGAGAGAAGGCCCTACACTAAACAGATCTATTGTTGCATTTGGAAATCTTGTAGCAAAACTAGCAGCCTCACCAAAGTCCACCAGGGTAATAAATTATGGGTAAGTTTAAAAAACCATACAGTTTATATTAAATTGTACTTTTAGGGCAAAATTTTTGAAATTGCAGAATAATCTACATTGTACATGTACATTGTGTAACTATGCTGATGCTTCACCCTGCTAGTAGTAGCTGTGCATGTAGTCTTATGAAGTCAAGTTAGTGATGTTAACAGTTGCTGTGGCCTTAAGTCAAGCATTCTACTATTGCAATATTAATAAAATTAATAATATAAATAATAATAACAATAATAATAATAATCATAATAATCATAATAATAATCATAATAAAACTGGCATCTCTTTAATTGTTTTCTCATAAAACTTTCCTTCCCAGTAGATGCTAAAGTAAAAATGTCAAGAAGTCCAGATTTCGTTTTGCAAAATCCTAAGTTTATTACAATGTATGGTACGCCATACATAATGTTCTTTGCAACGTTTCTATCAGAGGTTTTCATTTGAATGGTAACACTATCAGACTTTATCCTCAGATGAAAAAGAGTAAACGTATCATCAATTCTCACTATGACTTGTAAGTAAAAGGATTGATTCCAACAGACATTGTATTATTATAATACAATTTATTTTCTAAGTACTATTTTGAAATTAGTATCATTTTATGTGTCAGGGAATCCAAGGTCACATTATTATTGAAGGATGCTCTTGGTGGAAACTGTAAAACTAAAGCGCTTGTTACCCTACACCCTTCTGATACATTGGGGCTTGCCAGTGTCCTCAGAACAGCAGGGCAACTTGCACAAGTTCAAAACTATCCAATTGTAAATGACTTCATGGCTAAGGTACTCTATATAAGTGATATGTTTATTTGTTTATTAATTTTTTAGATACAGGGGTTAACACCCAAATTAATATAACCCTTCCCTTTACAGTATATTCCCCTAAGGCTTGATGCTTTTGAGTGAGTGCAGGGATCTATATATTAGAGATAACAGACTGCTGATATTTTCTGTGATCATATAAGTAAAAGCCAAAGAGAGTTATATACGTGGAAATTTGAAAAGAAATCCATGATATCCTTGTGAAAAAACCTAATACTTGGACAATACAGAGCATCTCCATGGAGAAAATCATAGTGTAAATGTTTCGTTGACCCTTGGAAGTGTTGTATAACTTTCTTTTTTTTTTAATTTGATCTAGTAAAGAATGGAGCTTAATCTGTTAAATACTGTAGCTGCTCTTAATACAATGTAGTTTCTATGTGTACCTTGAAATTTATGCATTGTTTAAATTTTAGCTGGAGTAGTTTGGAATTCTAGAGGAATGCCAGCAGTAATACAGGGCACGATCCATTCAACCAAAATTCAGACCGGTCCGACCAGGAAAAGAGGACCACCTCAAAAGGTGGACCAGTTTTTTCCAAACTTTTCCGGTTGGACCGAACAGATCCATTGAGTTTTGGACCGAAATTTCCGGAAATTTTGGTTGAATGGATTGCGCCCACAGTGTACTAATTTCTTCCAATGTAATTCTGGTGAGAGTACTGGAACAAATTTAACTTATTATGTACTGATATATTGGCATGGATCCATGTACAGGAGCTTTTGTGCCAGTTTAGATCGCTGATCATGAAACTTGAAGATGATGCAAGGCTAACAGGAGGATCAAAGAATATGGCATCAGGAGAGCATCAAACCAGGGCACAAGAGCTGAAGAACCAAATGGCACAACTGACCCAGGAAAATGTAATCATCTCCTAATACTAGAAACTAAAACGATATTGTTAGCCTGCAAGCAAGCTCTCCATTTGGAGAATATCGTCGCATTCTCTCGTGTCTTGCATCGCTCTCCTAAACAGGAGAGCTTGCTCGCAGGCTACAATATTGTTAATTTTCAGCACAGTCATTCTTACATGGAGAGTATTCATTATGTAGAGCTAGCAGAGCAGTTAATTTTTTTACTGACCACAAGATACAACAATGTATTTCATCCACACCAGAAAATTGTCTTAAGTTACAGCTTCATAAAAATGTAGGAACCCAGGTTTGCATATTTTTAATAATTTTTTTTCACCTCAAAATTGTTCTTGATCAGAAAAAAAAAAGTTTTGGTGGATTAACTGTGGCTCAGAAAAGTGGGTAATTTACAGCTAATGTATATTGTTACCACGTCTTATGTTTTAGTTTCAGCTGCAGGAGAAGAATGAACAGCTGTATACAAGGTTGGAAGAGATGCAGACAAGATACAGTGAACTTATGAATTCCAAGACTCAGCTGTCCTCAAAACTGATCACCAGTGAAGAAGAAAAGCTACGGGTTAGTCTTGTTGTAACAAGACATTAATAAATAAAATAGATAAAATAAATAAATATTTACAGGCAGCTCATCCACTTAGTGGTTCTTCATCCTCTATTCCTGTTCAAATTGGAAACGTTTTTTGTTGCTGAATTTTGCTAGATGTCTAAAGTAGATCCTCTCATCCACTTGAATACCAGGGGTCCCAAAGAAACAGGGATTTTGTTGCACTTGGTGTTTTCAGCACCAATAAAATTTGGTAGGAAAAAATCCACAGCTGCATGTATGTCCCTGCAGTTGGAGGATGTCATAGAATTGTATTACTTAACCCGGAAAGCAGAGACGAACAATTTATGGTAAATAGCTACAAGTAAACAAAACAACTGAGACAGTGGAATTAGTGTGTAGGAGAGTGAAGTGGTCCACTATCTATTTCACGATTTAAAGGATGATCACTCTAAGGGGTTTTTGATTGTACTACACTTTAATTAAGTCCATAGCTTTTTTTCACCAAACAGATTTGTTTTTCATTCATTTTGTTAAGCAATAGCTTTCTAATTTTTGTGATTACCCTAATAAACATGGACATCTAGATCTTACATTGTAGCCAAGTGCACATTTTTGTGTGAGGCAAGCAAGTTTCACCACCAAGCCTTGTTTTGAAATAATGAGGATTTGTAGAGGTTTAAATGAATTCCCAGAGCGTACGTGTTTGCACAAAGAAAGCATTACGAAGGAATCTGTTTTAACACAGGGGTCTTGGTGGTAAAATTATTTTGCTTGTTGCGTATAAATTTTGTGTAAGGCGTATTCTTAAGGAGAAACTGCTTGAAGATTGATTTTGATTGATTTTATTTTTCTATTTAAAAACGTTTTGCCACTCTGGTGGTTTTTGTAATTTTTTATTGTCATCAGATCTCAAAGACCTTGGTTGATGTTCAGTTAGAAAACAACCGAATCCAGGAGGACGCAGAAGCAACAAATTTTGATCTTGGTAACAAGGTATCAGTTGTACAATTATCTCTGTCTGCGTTTCAAATGATGGCTCATATGCACGAATGCTTTTGTTAGCCACAACGAGAATGTAGAAGGAAATTTAATATAGTTGACAAAAAGGGAAATACGTTTGTTGAGACAACTGTCTCGTTTCTGGTTTAGCTTTAGGTAAACTGAGTCTGTCAGTTGAAGAAAAAAACATTGCGAGGCTATGTTCAGTACACTAAAATCTTCAAACTTCTCTGTGAATATAGTCTGCGTAGCTGGCGTCTTTTTTTTGTTTTTTCTCTTTCTGTTTCGACCTCGGTACACCTTTCGAGAGGCTGTAACTCTTACTTTGCGAACCACAAAAAAAAAACACATCAAAAACGACCAGCTACGCAGGCTAGTGTGAATAGAGCGAAATACTGAACGGTCCCGTGTGAACGAAGTGTTCGGTCAAATTTGTCAGCCGTTCAAAAATTCGTCCGGTGCCGTGTGAGCGCAGCCTCACTAAATTGGTACAGAATGAAAAAGTCCTCGTTAGAAATATAAGGAATCAACATGGTTTGATGTATAAAAAGGAGGAGAGCATCTTTCCCAGAAAATTTCAGTACCCTGAATTTATGTGAGTAATATTAGTTGACAAAATTGGCTCAAAATAGGACGCAACTGAAAAAAAAAATTAGAGTTAAGGTGCTTTCCCGAGTTTTCGGTAGAGAAAATAACTAAAACCTGCATTCTGGAACCTGCAGAAAGGAAAGTTGCCAGGAAAGGTTTTCTAGCCTACAAAAATGTGAGTAGTATTAATTGCACTGAATTATCCTATAAACTGGAACTTAAGGTAGTTGTCTAGTCGAGAGTATTTATTTGAAAGAGGAAGCGACCAAACCGTTTGTTGAACAGAAATGTCAGTAGTATTAATCGTCACAACTCGGCCCAAAATGGGAAGTTACTGGGAAAGATTGTGTTGAAGCAGTGCCCAGTACTTGTGAGACAAATAATTTAAACCGATACATTTACGCTAGAGCGATTTTGGTGTGACGTTGAAAAATGGTTTCGGTAAGTGTTCCTCATTTGTTTTATCAGCCAATGGATGAAAAGGTCAAAACGTTGACTCTTTATTTTCCCGCCAGAGAAAACCCTAATATGGAGATGGCATTGTTCGATTGGCCAATTGTGTTGCAGTATGACATAACAGGGAAGCACCGATTGATTTCTAGAAAGGTCTCAGGCAGGAACCTTTTTCAGCCGAGCGTTCGCTTAACCAACCAAAAACCTCGCGCGTTTATATCCGTTCGATAAACCAATCAAATCGCTCTATTTCCGTTCGTTTGTTGTTTCTGTATTGTTCGCACGTTGTCATTTCAAGGTCATACGAAAATCCCTCTATTGCAAGGAACTTTAAAAAGGTCAGTAGTATACAATGCATGGAATTTCGCCAGAAAGGGAAGGAAGTACAGAAAACCGTCCCCCAACCCCTAAGAAGGTTTGATACTTATCCCTAGACTAGACTCGGTAAGGTTGAAACCAAGACGGCCGCCTGTAAGGGTAGGTGCTTGATCCTGACGATCTTACGGAAATTTAAGAAAATGTCAGTGAACAGTCTACAATTCCAATGAAACCTCATTTAGTCCTGAAGTACTCTTGCCTGATGCCGGTTATTTTTCACAATATTAAAAAAGTGCTAGCTCTACAACAGGTCTAAATCTGTGTGTGGCCAGCACATGCGGTGTCTAAAGTACTAAACCCACCAACAAAGTTACTACCACATTTTACAAGGCCAGAATTTTTATTTTTGTAGGTACTTGCTCTTGAAAATAACGTCATGGAGTTGCAGATGTTTTTGGATAATGCCCAGGCGGACCTGGCAACAGCCAGAGAGCAACTGGACAGCATGGAAACAGAACATAAAGAACTAGCAAATGAATACATTGCTTTAAAAACCAGCCATGTTCAGCTGACGGCTGATTTCCAGAAAGAGGTAGGCACCCCAACAACTTTTTGCGCAGTACTTTGTTTTAACTTTGTACTGAATTCTCAGATTTTCATGACCAGCGTGACAGACATGTCCACGACAGTCTACAACGTGAAACATAATGTTTTTGTCTTTTAAAGGTGGCTAAAAATGAAGAACTCGGGCTGGAACTCGTCACCTTACTTAACACCAAGGAAAAGCTGCAACATGACAAAGAAGCTGTGGAACTTGAAAAAATGCAGGTAAATATATCAAATGATGCACTTTTATGATTTACAGTAAGGCTCCAAATTCTGATGAGTGCTTATGTGTAAAGCCCTGGCTAAACGTATATGCTCACGTTTTAGCAATATTTCTAATGCAGTTAAATGAAATTTAACACACGATTTAGCAAAGACGACGCGATGAAAGCGACGACGTCGCACCGAATCTTACAACCGACGTTACCGAGACTTGGTTAATAGCAAAACGCGTTCTCATTTGATGTTACGTTGCTTTTGCCATATCCGGCGTCAATTGTTTTGACACATGGCGCGTCCTATGTAGTCGTCCAATTGGGAGTTATAACGGAAGTGGACTTGTGCAATGGATTTTTTTCAAGTTTTCGAGCAAATCGCCTCTATAAGAGAAAAGACACTTCGCAATATAAATTTGGTGAAATACCTCACATTTAGCTGACGTGCGCCACTCATTAACGCGTTTGTTTATTAAGCTCCCTCATATTCAAATGAGGTCTCCTTCTGCATGTAACAGCACAACAACAACTGACCGAATCAGACAATCAAATTTCGTTTGGAGTTTCTTTCTTTCTCCCTTTCTCTCATTTATTTATTTATTTATTTATTTATTATTCTGAAGTTAGAACTTTACTCTTGCAACTGAGAAAGAACCCTAAGTTTTGATTTTTTTCACGGGAATCGTTTTAACTGTACTTTTAATGACGTTCAGTCAATTTGATTGAGGTCAAAGGTATGAAATGAGTGAATTATAACGTCATCCAGCTAACGCGTATTCGATCCTTCACTAACCCAGTTATTTTCCCTTCAAGGTTTTTGTCTGTCTATTCATGGTTCAGTCCCTAGAGAGCAAAGTCTTCTCTGAGGGGTTACACTACTACACTACACTATTACACTACTAAGGTGATCACACACGAGACGATTTGCCACGACGATATTTAGAGCACCAATTTTAGCACTATTTTGTATCCTCGGAAACTCAGGGGCGGTCAGTCGGGTCGGAAGAAAACGCGGCGAAAGTTTTCAATTTTTTTTTACACCCGACTGACCACCCCTGGGTCTCCAAGGATGCGCTTTTAAAGACAAAGACTAAACGCGTAGGTGGTAAATTGTAGGACACATTTCTATCAGATCTGCTGTTTTTCACCATTTTGACTAGTTTATGTATTCAAATGTCTGCCAGGTTATTGTTTTGAGGACGTTTGCGACCGAACAGTTGTTTTTCCCCATTTTGGTCACATTTCCACTAACTGCTTACGTAACATCTTTCCTCAGGAGTACTATGATCAACTGAGAAGAATAGCCAGCAAATTTTCCAGAGGTTCTTTACGCGAAAAGGTAAGCTGGCTGTAACTAAGCATCCCGTTTTTACACCAGTCGACGTCTCATACGTTAATTGCGCTTATTAACGTTTCTAACATGAAAACCGCCATTATGTATCACTTGGGGTTAAAGTCCACACAAAATATACCTAGCAGTGAAATTGGTTTTGGAGATAAATACCGTAAATGACCTAATAAACGCCCACTTCCAGATAAACGCCTCTTAACGAATAGACATCCCCTCCACACGCTGTTAAAATTGTGTTAGTCGCCCCTCTCTAATAAACGCCCCTTGTCTAACAGACGCACCCTATGACAGTTACTCCAAAATAGTAGGAATTAGCAAAAGGGAGCAAACCCTTTTCTTGCTTGATTAACAAGGCTCTGCGTATTTCATCTTCCTCAATGTCACGTTCAAAGTAAGGATAGACTAACGATGGCAACACAATAATCCTGAGCGAGGACTCTGACATCGTTGGTGGGATTTGAAAGAGCGATATGGATCTCTAGATGGTCTAGACGTATCAATTGTTGGAGTGGATATTCCGCTATTAATTATTTTTTGAACTCTCTCGATATTTAATATATTTGCCAAAAGCATATTAGTTTTGTTGAGGTTGTTGCAGTTATAAGAATAAATACCCTTCTCTTTTAAACGCCTCCTAACTATCAACCGCCCCCGCTTGGACCCCTAAAATTAAATAGACCCCCCGTGGCGTTTATTAGGTAATTTGCGGTATTCTCTACACCAAAAACGGTTTTTGAGAACTGATACCCGAAATCCGTTGATCGCGAGGGCTTCGTTGGCTGTTAGTTGAAGGTTGGGCCGGGTTGTTCAAAGCAGTGTTAAGTTAACCTAGGGTTAGTGCGAAACTTGAATTCAGATATCAAAGTTTACAAAGAAAGATCAGTTTTATTGTCTTTCTCTACAGTTTGATGGTTGGATGGCCTAAAAAGAATAGAGAAAATAATTCCAGAAAATTCTTTTGAACAAAAGAAAAAGAAACCGGGGTTAAAATTTAAGCCTGGGTTAGCGCTAATCGGCCTTCGAACAACTGGGCCCAGACACCAGTTAGTCTCACTAGTGCATGTGGGGAATACCGTGGGGAAAGTGAATGCAATTAAATTAGTGTTTGTATAATGTAGGATGACTTGTCCAGAAGTGTGCTAAACTTACAGTCAGAAAAACTTGAACTGGAAAAACAGGTATAGTGGACAAACAATTTTATATGGACTTTAGTTTTTCTCCTTTGGTCATGCGGGCAGTAGCCTCCCACGCAGACATTTTCAGGGCTTCGTCACGCGTCTCGTTATGCTATGCGGGCAACATCTCTGAACAGTAATATACTTACAACAGACAGTTGTAACGTACATGATTTGGATGTAAAAACGGCCATTACCATAAGCATTTTCACGGAGGTTAGACAGGGTCGCAGAACAAGCTCGGGTCCCTTTACATGTACTTAAAACGACACAAGAATACAAAGCACTGCATAGTTTAGTTTATTGCTCCCACCAAAAAAAACAACAACAACAAGATAAGGCGATTTTTTCCGGTGTTCACATTTCCGTGTGAACCCTATTAGTCGTTCCGTTACGTAATATTACTCGATGTTTCACCAAGCGCTTCTGCCATTACAAAATCTCAGTGAATTTATTGTGATATGTTTTTAATATTGTTTACTGACTGTTATCTTCACATTAATGCAGAGAAAAAAAAACCTGAAATTAAAATTGACAGCTCAAAAAGTGGCCAATTTTGTTTGGTATTGTGAATGTTAAGGTCTACGTTTGATTTTAACTTGAGCTCTCGTTCTTATTTAGTTACTTCAAAACACTCAACAACGTGAAGGCAGAGTTGAAGTGCTAAGAGGACAGCATCAAAGAGAATTAGTCAAGCTCGAAGATAGAATGTAAGGCTCGAAACAGACACCGAAGTTTACATGAGCCGAGCCTAATTCGAATTAAGGTTGACCTAAATTATTTAGACCGACTGGACTGACTTAGGGGCTGTTTGCATGGAGGTTGGAAGATCCTAGAAGATGGAATAACTTTACTTTGGGTTTACGTGCAGAAATTTCGGCCCGTGAGTTGTCTAAGTAGAGAAGGTTAGAGAGGGAATTAAGAATGGCGGACGCAAAATCAAAAATGCAAATTGGGTCCTTCTGCTCTCTTTACTGGCGTAAATCACTACCTTTCAGCTGAATTAACACAATAATCTGCTCGTGGATTAACTCCAAACGAAATGGTCGGCCTTTACTGCCGTAATTAGCCACTGAACGACCCGCCGACATTTTTGTCGCGTTTGTCCCTAGTACTAGGATCTTCATAGCGAAAGCAGATTGCATGGTCCTAGGATCTTCCTAGAGCTAGGATCTTCCTACCTCTCAGCTAGGAAGATCCTAGTACTAGGAAGATCCTAGCGCTAGGGACAAGTACAACCCTTTGCATGTAAACTGAATACAGAAAATATATGGCGCTAGGATGATCCGCCCTCTAGGATCTTCCTTGTACTAAGATCTCCCTCCCATCATGTAAACAGCCCGTTAGACGTCGATCTTAATTCAGCCGAACCAAACTCAAAAGGAGAAAAATGTTCACTTAAGGTGGCTCGACTGGATTTTTTGGGGGGAATACCTCCCACGTTTGAGCATTAACTACGTCGGCATGAGTAAAGATATGGGAAAAAGGTTACCACAACTGTATTATATAAAGATGACAATTTCTTATGATCTGGGTTTTATTGCAATCGGAGTCCCCATGGCAACGTAATGACGCCATTACGCTTTTTATTTATCTTTGTGTTTCTCTGTACCAGGAGTGTTTTGAAGAAATCGCTTAGCGGAGTATGTACCTGCCATAATTGCCTCCATTATGGCAAAGTTTCAACAAATTCTACGAGAGCGTTTTCGAAATATTTTGACACGCAGTTTTAACAATCATAAAAACAGTGAAATAGCATGCTATCCATACAATTCGCTAATATTTTAAGAAACTGATAATGTTTGGAAACGCAGCTTCATCCCATAGTGGTTTGATTCCATTGAAAACTGCATACAAAAAAGAGGGGAATTGCTCTGAGCGATCGCGAGTAAGAAGAATTTTATTGACTTGCATTCATCTGCTTTTGTTATAGTTTTTGGACGTAATTTGGTCCATGCCAACAAATTTCGCATTTTTCAAAAAACCGCTCGATAAATTTTTTTATAAGTTCGACAATGTGGAGACCAATTGTCAATAAATATTCCCTGCAAGTTTCAAGAACATTGAAAACAGGGAAGGCTTTTAAATAGGGCCTCAAATATAACCACTTTTTCCCCCAGATTTTGTGTTTACAACTGAGCGTCCTCATTATTCACTGGCATTGTTTTCAAGTTTCATATGCACGTGCACAACTAGCAAAAGATATAAATTTGCATCAAAAAGAACTCTCGATTACTTTCCAAAGAAATACTCGGAATATGCTAATAATTGGCTTGTGTCACCGACAGCAGTGAGAGCCGAAACGATGGACGTCACTGCTCATCGTGTAGGATGCAATACTTAATTATGTTACTCGAGTTATAACATCACAGGAACTCTTACAAAGAATTGCTCTGATGTTATAATGTATCACTAATCTCTTTACCCGGTAATTAGCATATTCCGGAGATATAACCGAGGGTCCTTTTTTATGCAAATTCTATCTTTTTGCTAAATGTGCACGTGTATATGAAACTTGAAAACAATGCCAGTAAATAATGAGGACGCTCACTTGTAAACACAAAATCTGGGGGAAAAAGTGGTTATATTTGAGGCCCTATTTAAAAGCCTTCCCTGTTTTCAATGTTCTTGAAACTTGCAGGGAATATTTATTGACAATTGGTCTCTAGATTGTCGAATTTATAAAGAAATTTATCGAGCGGTTTTTTGAAAAATGCGAAGTTTGTAGGCATGGACCAAATTACGTCCAAAAACTATAACAAAAGCAGCTGAATGCAAGTCAATAAAATTCTTCTTACTCGCGATCGCTCAGAGCAATTTCCCTCTTTTTTTGAATGCAGTTTTCAATGGAATCAAACCACTATGGGATGAAGCTGCGTTTCCAAACATTATCAGTTTCTTAAAATATTAGCGAATTGTATGGATAGCATGCTATTTCACTGTTTTTATGATTGTTAAAACTGCGTGTCAAAATATTTCGAAAACGCTCTCGTAGAATTTGTTGAAACTTTGCCATAATGGAGGCAATTATGGCAGGTACATACTCCGTTAAGCGATTTCTTCAAAACACTCCTGGTACAGAGAAACACAAAGATAAATAAAAAGCGTAATGGCGTCATTACGTTGCCATGGTGACTCCGATTGCAATAAAACCCAGATCATAAGAAATTTTCATCTTTATATAATACAGTTGTGGTAACCTTTTTCCCATATGTTTACTCATGCCGACGTAGTTAAAGCTCCAACGTGGGAGGTATCCCCCCAAAAAAATCCAGTCGAGCCACCTTAAGTCAAACTGCTTGTAAAGTACGTTGTAATAATTTGTACATTGGGTTCGGCACATGAAAGTTCGGCGTCTGAATCAAAGCCGGCCCAGTCGCTCTAAAGTCGAAATGTGGCTTTCGCAAAGCGCCCCTTTCTGGTTTTTCATGCTCAAAGGTATAACCTGCTGATAGGAACTCTGTTACAGTATTGCTAAGTCCGATTTTGACACGATCGTGTGGAAAAAAAAATCATTCAATCAGACAATCATTTCGGGCAACTTGCCACACTTCGTCTCCGACGACGTTTCGATCTTCCACAGCTGATTTTATAGCTAAATAATTTACAACCCAACGTCTTAAGAAAGTTGATCAATATAGGTTTTATTTGGTCACTCAACATGAGAGTAGCCTTGCCTTGGAACCCAGAGAAGTAAGTCACTCTGTGATTCATTCTTGCTTCGTCAGCAGTGATCAAGAATGGAAGCACCCTTGTGAAAGGCGGGTTTTTAGGGCGATCGGATAGAACTTTAAGTCTATTTATGAGCTGGTTTCCCTATAATCGTCCATTTGCCTCGATCTTCTTATTCATACCAAGAAAAAAATTTAAAGCGCTTCAGACGACTGTATAAAAACCAGGCTTAATAGTTTAGAATTAATAATGGTTGGCATAGCATCAATATTAGAGACCATTAGATTCGAGGACGAGGACGACTACGACTACGAGATTTGACTTGAAGTTTTTTCGCGTCTTCTCAAAATATAGACTTCCCAGAAAGTTTCATTTTACCATTTTTCACTAGAAAAGTTAGCACCGTTATCTTTAGTGAAGGAGGTTACGCGCTCGATCGCAAAATGATAAAACTTCTAACATTTGACACTGATTTGATATCTTGTTTTCGCCACCACGACATTCGCGCGAAAACTCGCAGTAGGATGACGACGGCTACCACGTTTTCCCGCCAAAATCTAAAGCTTTCTATTATTTACAGATCCAAACTTAAAAAGGAACTACAAGAAGCAAAGGAGGCCTCCCGGGAATATCAACGAAAGCTTGCCCATCAGTCTGCGGTAGGTTAAACATTGATCAAAGTTTTATACCTAAATTATCTATTTTCTTTCTTTTTCTTTCCTTTTTTTTCTACGAAGAATAGCCTAACTTGGAAAGTGAAATATGAAAATAAAACTTTAGAAAATCGTATGGATTTATTAGATAAGCTTCGAAATTTGTAGGTCATCTAGAACTCTTTAGCCGTCCTCAAGTAATCGGAAATTTTTAGGCGATATTTGCTTCTCCCAACAGATATTTTACAGGGAGAAAATACTCGTTTGGTTCCTCTGAGTCTCCCTTGGCAAGTGCGTTTTGTTTTTCACAGAGTAGGTCTTCTGATAATACTTGAGAGATCTGTTTCTTAGGGCTTGATCATATGAGATGGGCCGGACGGATTTTCTGGACTCGTTAGCTTTGTCGAGATGGCTTTAATCCCAGTATTACGCCATCTTAAGGTGATTCCCTAGTTTTGCACTACGCGTCTCTTACTGCGTATAACGAGATGGCCGCCGTAAAAAAACGGATGTGAAGTAATATTATTAAAATGGAGTTGACTGAAAAGAAACGCTATTGGAATTTTTGCTTGCTGTTGTTTCTTGCCGAGGTGAGACTCAATGTGTTGGGAATGTGCATAACGTAAGCAGTACGCGTGTTGCTGAGTTCGACCTCCTCTCGGAGAACCTCGATAGTGGATGTTTAACTTGTGCTTACTCACTTTGATTTTCATTTAAACACTTTCTTTATCACATTGTGTCCTAAATGTGATATCTCGATGTAAATTCTGTAAAAACGGATTTTTTAATACTTTCTTCCCCCTTTCACATACATTCTATTTTGAAACTCGCCCCAGTCCTCTCTCAAAAATCGGAGAAAATGCGTTTGGTGCGCACTTTCTGCAGCTCTACCGCAAAAACGAGTACGGTGACCCCCATTTTTTATTTCATGATTTTAATAAGGACAGTGCTTTCTTTAGATGAGAAAAAAATTGGCACAAATCTATGTTCAGTTTTTTGGCAATTTTACTAAATTGTACGGATTGAGCCATCACTGGTCGAAAAGCGCGCGTCCAATTTTATTCTACTTTGGAGCGTAAAGTAAAAACAAGGGCATTAAAAGGCATTTTTCTGGTACGTAAGTGGATTAACAATACATTAAAGTCAAATTCTGTGTGATGTCACATGCATCATCGAAAAAATCTCTCCTTTTTGTCTAGTTTTGCGCTGCCCGCGGTTTTTGTAAAAGGGTCCTAAATAACCGTATTTGTCAGCATTGTGACGTCAAAACGAGCACGGTGACCCCCACTTTTTATTACGTTTTTATCATCTTCTTGACTTGTTACATCAGTGTACCAAGTTTTAGCTAAAATCTATGTTAGGTTCTTTTACTATGGAATCACCTTAATACCGGGATTCCAGCTAACTGGGCTGGATGGGTTGTCATGTAATCACAAAGTTAAGATTTGTTGCGTTTAGTTGACGCGCAGCGATCTTGGAAAGAAAGCCAAGCTGACAAACCCGGCTAGCCCTTATTCACCTTCACGCCTACAAATCTATGAGAAGGAAAGGACAAATTTCCTTGTGGACATCACGTGAGAGTTAAGAGGCTTCAATGATTTGTATACCTTTGGCCATGTTTCTGTTACCCACACATTGTGCTAAGGGTCATGTGTTTGTATCAAAGAGTGACGAGGGTCTCTGAATCAAAGGGGGTAGCCTTTGCTTTATACAGCTATTAACAGTGTGTGTCGACACAGACCAGGGGCCTGTTTCTCGAAAGTCCCGGTAACTTTTCGGGCCCGGAAAGCTGTTTAGTGTTTGTTATGTTTGCATTCAAGATCAAAGTTTCAATAATTTTGAAAATAATACAATGACACTATCAGTTAACGAAGAAAAATTAACTGGTTTGCGGGCTAGGAACTGTGCTGTTACTATTCAACGGGTTTTGATTTTAAAATTTGCCTTTACGCCCGAACAGTTTCCGGATCTTTCGAGAAACGGGCCTCAGCACCTCCAAATTCCCCATCATAGTCGAAATAGAGGAAAACCAAGAACTGCTCAGCTATAAATTAGTGTGTTTGTCACCTCATGTTAAAGGAACTGATTTCTGCTAACGGCGAGAGGCATCGTTTGTATGAAGAGAACAATAACTTGGATCTACGTTTAAAGGAGCTCAGTGCAGAATACACCAACAGATTACAGCAATACATTCATGATATAGCGGTAAGATTCATCTCTTAACACAGGTTCTTTCTTGTTAAGAAGCATTGTTCCTATTGGGAGGGGAGATGCTAGTAGAATGAAAAGTCATTTTCTAAACCGAAAAGTTGAATTGAACCTTACTAGTTTTTTTTATTCGTGGTATGTAAGTATGCGTGAGGTCAAGATGGCTTAATATTGGCCAAATGCCTTTTTTTGCGTTTTTATGAACCTTGACGAAGTCGAGGCCAGTAGAAACGCACAAACGGACGAGGCCAATTTTCGGCCATTTTGACCGAACAAGCTAGGTCGATAAAGGAATATTGTAAGGTCAAAAAGAGAACTTTTTACTTTTTACCCTCTCGGGTAACCAATAGGACACAGGAGTCACCTTTCCTTCCCCGCTCGCGGAATTGTTCTATGTAATATCAACCTTATTTCGCAGTTAACTTTCCTTCGCAAATTTATCTTAAGGTATTCTGTGGACAAGCCAGTCAAAAGCAGCTCTCTGTGGGGTCATTACAATCTTACATAGATGTCATGGTAAGACAAATAAGAGAATCGCACGAGAAAAAGGAAGAAGCTTTGGAAACCAGAATACGAGAACTAAAAGCTGTAGTCAAGGAAATGGTACAGAAAAATGAGAAACTCTCGTCGGCCTACAGGTTTGTGAAGTTCTCGCCCCGTTTTTTCAAACGTTCGTTTGAGCTATCGGCGAGATAAACAGCTATCCCGTGGTTAAGTATCAGCGAAACTCATGCTTTTTAAAACCACCGAACAGAGATTTATTCGCTAGATAACGTTATCCACCTTTTGAAAAACGGAGGCCGGCTGGCTTGCAAAGTGTGTCCTAAGGGAATATTGTTCTTGGGTGTCGTGAAACGTCACCTAAAGCATGAAACGGGCGCCAAAGTCCGAAAACTCCAGCGTGACTGGTTTTATTAATGCATGTTTTTAATTAGCCTGGAGTGAAATCATCAAATCCGAGAATCTATGACCCGTTTGGTTACCAGTCCAGATGCTCTACCATTGAGCTACAGGAAACAAGAGGAAACTTAGGCCACTGAGATTCCTGCCCCCAACCTCCACCCTCCACCCTCCACCCTCCCTTTACCAAATTTAACACTGACTTCTCACTGAGTACAAACTATTGGGTGAAGGGAAGGGTACGTGCGCGGCAGTTCACTAACAATATTTACATTCGACCTCTGTTAGAAGGCTTGTTTCCTGTCAAATGTACTTTTGCATGCCAGTCATCTTAACACAGTGTTCTCTATTTTTTTTTTTAGCATGCACTCCTTTGATTAATGGATCCTTTTGTGCATGGATGTTATTGTGTTGCATCATTTGTTTACCTCCTCTCTTTCTTTATTATTATCAGAATAATGAGATTTGACATGGAAAGCAAAGAAGGACGGGACGTTTCACAGGCAGACCAACCTGATTTGTTCCTGCCGTCTGAGAGTGAATTGCAAATGGCACAGGTTGGTGATGTATTCGATTACATACATATAATGACCGGCGGGATAGAAAGGCATCGGAAGTGCGATTACACGCGAGATAGGTGCCTAAATCATGCTCAGTAAATTGGGTGTACTTCCGTTAAGGTTGGAACACACAAGGCGACATCAAGCTGCAACACGTCGCGGGGACGAATAACAAATAAAGTACAGGTCAGGCGGCAAGTTGCTGCAATAGGTCACGGCTGCACGTTGCAGCAACAAATCGCTTTTCTGTCTTTGAAAACATAGAAGAAGCTCTGCTCTTGCTCTTTGTGTGTATATTCTCTAGCTTTTAGATTTACCAACAGACATTAGCAATTGTAGGTACTCTATAGTCAGCCGGCAGCTTTTAGCAAAAAGGTCTCTTGTATTTTACTTAACAGAGTCGTGAAATTGCGAAACTTCACTCTGATCTTAGAGAATTACAACAGAAAAACCAAGATCTCAAGCTAAAGGTAAAATCATTGAATGTGTAATAGGCCCCATCCCTCAAATAAACGCCTCCTTGCGCTTTCAAGTTTGTGTTAGACGCCCCTCTCAGCTAATGAACGCCCCCTGCCTAATAGACACCCCGCATGACAATTACTTTAAAATACTACAAAAAGAATAAAAAGGAGCCAAATTGATCAATTTATTTCGTTTCTTGCTTGATTAATAAAGCTTTGTTGTTGCATCTTGTTCAGTTTCAAGTTCAAAGCAAGAATTTTGACGTCAAAATCAGTATTTACGTATTGATTGCACGATTCTTTCTCAGTTGGCTGCTGGTGCGTCACACTCTTCTTCAAACGAGCAGGACAAAGATCAACAGTAAGCCACGTTTCACGTTTGCGTACTGCACGGTTTGAATCAGCAAGACGTTCGGCATAACTAAAGCCAAAAGGAAATCTTAAGTACGACCTTTTTCTATTCTTTGGGTGAAAAAGGCAAACAGCTTTACAGTTCGACTGCTTGTCGGTAATCAAGTCAGAGTTAAACCACACTCAACCCTTTTGGCTATTTTTCCACTCCTAAACAAAATATTGGAAAAAGAGACAGTAAGCAAAATATCCTGTTGAGAGTGTACATTACAGTACAATGGAACCCGGTTGATACGGACAGCGACGGGACATGCCATAGTGTCCGTATTGACCGGGTGTCCGTAGTAAGCAGGTTAATTTGAGAGAAGATATTTGAGCTTTTTTTCGTCGGGACAAACGAAACTACCCGTTATATACGGGTGTCCGTAGAGCGTGGTTCCACTGTACCAAGTTTGTCAACAACTAC